AAACTCGATTTTTGAGTGAAAACATAAAAGTGCATTTTCTGGCTAAACTAGAAGAGCTAGGGCCTAAAGAATGAAAATCTGTGATCACTTCTAGTTCCTATAAAACTCGATTTTTAAGTGAAAATATAAAAGTGCATTTTCTGGCTAAACTAGAAGAGCTAGGGGCTAAACAATGAAAGTCTGTGATCACTTATATTTCCTACCAAAACTCGATTTTTGAGTGAAAACATAAAAGTGCATTTTCTGGCTAAACTAGAAGAGCTAGGGTCTAAAGAATGAAAATCTGTGATCACTTATATTTCCTAACAAAACTCGATTTTTGAGTGAAAACATAAAAGTGCATTTTCTGGCTAAACTAGAAGAGCTAGGGCCTAAAGAATGAAAATCTGTGATCACTTCTAGTTCCTATAAAACTCGATTTTTAAGTGAAAACATAAAAGTGCATTTTCTGGCTAAACTAGAAGAGCTAGGGGCTAAACAATGAAAGTCTGTGATCACTTATATTTCCTACCAAAACTCGATTTTTGAGTGAAAACATAAAAGTGCATTTTCTGGGTAAACTAGAAGAGCTAGGGCCTAAAGAATGAAAATCTGTGATCACTTATATTTTCTACCAGAACTCGATTTTAGAGTGAAAATATAAAAATGCATTTTCTGGCTAAACTAGAAGAGCTAGGGCCTAAAGAATGAAAATCTGTGATCACTTATATTTCCTAACAAAACTCGATTTTTGAGTGAAAACATAAAAGTGCATTTTCTGGCTAAACTAGAAGAGCTAGGGCCTAAAGAATGAAAATCTGTGATCACTTCTTGTTCCTATAAAACTCGATTTTTGAGTGAAAACATAAAAGTGCATTTTCTGGCTAAACTAGCAGAGCTAGGGCCTAAAGAATGAAAATCTGTGATCACTTATATTTCCTACCAAAACTCGATTTTAGAGTGAAAACATAAAAGTGCATTTTCTGGCTAAACTAGAAGAGCTAGGGCCTAAAGAATGAAAATCTGTGATCACTTATATTTTCTACCAGAACTCGATTTTTGAGTGAAAACATAAAAGTGCATTTTCTGGCTAAACTAGAAGAGCTTGGGCCTAAAGAATGAAAATCTGTGATCACTTATATTTTCTACCAGAACTCGATTTTTGAGTGAAAACATAAAAGTGCATTTTCTGGCTAAACTAGAAGAGCTAGGGCCTAAAGAATGAAAATCTGTGATCACTTATATTTTCTACCAGAACTCGATTTTTGAGTGAAAACATAAAAGTGCATTTTCTGGCTAAACTAGAAGAGCTAGGGCCTAAAGAATGAAAATCTGTGATCACTTATATTTCCTACAAAAACTCGATTTTTGAGTGAAAACATAAAAGTGCATTTTCTGGCTAAACTAGAAGAGCTACGGCCTAAAGAATGAAAATCTGTGATCACTTCTAGTTCCTATAAAACTCGATTTTTGAGTGAAAACATAAAAGTGCATTTTCTGGCTAAACTAGCAGAGCTAGGGCCTAAAGAATGAAAATCTGTGATCACTTATATTTCCTACCAAAACTCGATTTTAGAGTGAAAACATAAAAGTGCATTTTCTGGCTAAACTAGAAGAGCTAGGGCTTAAAGAATGAAAATCTGTGATCACTTATATTTCCTACCAAAACTCGATTTTAGAGTGAAAACATAAAAGTGCATTTTCTGGCTAAACTAGAAGAGCTAGGGCCTAAAGAATGAAAATCTGTGATCACTTCTAGTTCCTATAAAACTCGATTTTTGAGTGAAAACATAAAAGTGCATTTTCTGGCTAAACTAGAAGAGCTAGGGGCTAAACAATGAAAGTCTGTGATCACTTATATTTCCTACCAAAACTCGATTTTTGAGTGAAAACATAAAAGTGCATTTTCTGGCTAAACTAGAAGAGCTAGGGCCTAAAGAATAAAAATCTGTGATCACTTATATTTCCTACCAAAACTAGATTTTTGAGTGAAAACATAAAAATGCATTTTGTGACTAAACTAGAGGAGCTAGGGCTTAAAGAATGAAAATCTGTGATCACTTTTATTTCCTACCAAAACTCGATTTTTGAGTGAAAATATAAAAATGCATTTTCTGGCTAAACTAGAAGAGCTAGAGCTTTAAGAATGAAAATCTGTGATCACTTATATTTCCTACCAAAACTCGATTTTTGAGTCAAAACATAAAAATGCATTTTCTGACTAAACTAGAGGAGCTAGGGCTTAAAGAATGAAAATCTGTGATCGCTTATATTTCCTACCAAAACTCGATTCTTGAGTGAAAACATAAAAGTGCATTTTCTGGCTAAACTAGAAGAGCTAGGGCCTAAAGAATGAAAATCTGTGATCACTTATATTTCCTATCAAAACTCGATTTTTGAGTGAAAACATAAAAGTGCATTTTCTGGCTAAACTAGAAGAGCTAGGGCCTAAAGAATGAAAATCTGTGATCACTTATATTTCCTACCAAAACTCGATTTTAGAGTGAAAACATAAAAGTGCATTTTCTGGCTAAACTAGAAGAGCTAGGGCCTAAAGAATGAAAATCTGTGATCACTTCTAGTTCCTATAAAACTAAATTTTTGAGTGAAAACATAAAAGTGCATTTTCTGGCTAAACTAGAAGAGCTAGGGGCTAAACAATGAAAGTCTGTGATCACTTATATTTCCTACCAAAACTCGATTTTTGAGTGAAAACATAAAAGTGCATTTTCTGGCTAAACTAGAAGAGCTAGGGCCTAAAGAATAAAAATCTGTGATCACTTATATTTCCTACCAAAACTCGATTTTTGAGTGAAAACATAAAAATGCATTTTCTGACTAAACTAGAGGAGCTAGGGCTTAAAGAATGAAAATCTGTGATCACTTTTATTTCCTACCAAAACTCGATTTTTGAGTGAAAATATAAAAATGCATTTTCTGGCTAAACTAGAAGAGCTAGAGCTTTAAGAATGAAAATCTGTGATCACTTATATTTCCTACCAAAACTCGATTTTTGAGTCAAAACATAAAAATGCATTTTCTGACTAAACTAGAGGAGCTAGGGCTTAAAGAATGAAAATCTGTGATCACTTATATTTCCTACCAAAACTCGATTCTTGAGTGAAAACATAAAAGTGCATTTTCTGGCTAAACTAGAAGAGCTAGGGCTTAAACAATGAAAATCTGTGATCACTTATATTTCCTACCAAAACTCGATTTTTGAGTGAAAACATAAAAGTGCATTTTCTGGCTAAACTAGAAGAGCTAGGGCCTTAAGAATGAAAATCTGTGATCACTTATATTTCCTACCAAAACTCGATTTTTGAGTGAAAACATAAAAGTGCATTTTCTGGCTAAACTAGAAGAGCTAGGGCCTTAAGAATGAAAATCTGTGATCACTTATATTTCCTACCAAAACTCGATTTTTGAGTGAAAACATAAAAGTGCATTTTCTGGCTAAACTAGAAGAGCTAGGGCCTAAAGAATGAAAATCTGTGATCACTTCTATTTCCTACCAAAACTCGATTTTTGAGTGAAAACATAAAACTGCATTTTCTGGCTAAACTAGAGGAGCTAGGGCCTAAAGAATGAAAATCTGTGATTACTTATATTTCCTACCAAAACTCGATTCTTGAGTGAAAACATTAAAGTGCATTTTCTGGCTAAACTAGAAGAGCTAGGGCCTAAAGAATGAAAATCTGTGATCACTTCTATTTCCTACCAAAACTCGATTTTTGAGGGAAAACATAAAAATGCATTTTCTGACTAAACTAGAGGAGCTTGGGCTTAAAGAATGAAAATCTGTGATCACTTTTATTTCCTACCAAAACTAGATTTTTGAGTGAAAACATAAAAGTGCATTTTCTGGCTAAACTAGAAGAGCTAGGGCTTAAACAATGAAAATCTGTGATCACTTATATTTCCTACCAAAACTCAATTTTTGAGTGAAAACATAAAAGTGCATTTTCTGACTAAACTAGAGGATCTAGGGCTTAAACAATAAAGATCTGTGATCACTTCTATTTCCTACCAAAACTCGATTTTTGAGTCAAAACATAAAAATGCATTTTCTGGCTAAACTAGAAGAGCTAGAGCTTTAAGAATGAAAATCTGTGATCACTTATATTTCCTACCAAAACTCGATTTTTGAGTGAAAACATAAAAGTGCATTTTCTGGCTAAACTAGAAGAGCTAGGGCCTTAAGAATGAAAATCTGTGATCACTTATATTTCCTACCAAAACTCGATTTTTGAGTGAAAACATAAAAGTGCATTTTCTGGCTAAACTAGAAGAGCTAGGGCCTAAAGAATGAAAATCTGTGATCACTTGTATTTCCTACCAAAACTCGATTTTTGAGTGAAAATATAAAAGTGCATTTTCTGGCTAAGCTAGAAGAGCTACGGCTTAAAGAATGAAAATCTGTGATCACTTATATTTCCTACTAAAACTCTATTTTTGAGTGAAAACATAAAAGTGCATTTTCTGGCTAAACTAGAAGAGCTAGGGCTTAAAGAATGAAAATCTGTGATCACTTATATTTCCTACCAAAACTCGATTTTTGAGTGCAAACATAAAAGTGCATTTTCTGGCTAAACTAGAAGAGCTAGGGCTTTAAGAATGAAAATGTGTGATCACTTCTGTTTCCTGCCAAAACTCGATTTTTAAGTGAAATTACAAAAATGCTTTTTCTGGCTAAACTAAAGGCGCTTGGGGCAAAAGATTTGCATATTCCTTTCGCTTCTTAAACTTCCTTGTTTTTAAGCTTTCCCCTTTATAACTTACATGGTCTGCTTGAGATGTGTCAACTCCTCTTCCATGCGTCAACTCCTCTTCCAGAAGAGCTAGGGCTTAAACAATGAAAATCTGTGATCACTTATATTTCCTAACAAAACTCGATTTTTGAGTGAAAACATAAAAGTGCATTTTCTGGCTAAACTAAAGGCGCTCGGGGCAAAAGATTTGCATATTCCTTTCCCTTCTTAAACTTCCTTGTTTTTAAAGCTTTCCCCTTTATAACTTACATGGTCTGCTTGAGATGTGTCAACTCCTCTTCCATGCGGCCAATTTTCTCCTCCTGTTTGACTCTCAACATTTGGCTGCGTTCATTACTCTCCTCCAATAGCTTGATTATATGCTCCTGATTGGCCACTTCCATTTGTTTAGCACTTAAGGTGGTAAATAAATTGCGAAATTCTTCAGATTTGGCTTGCAATTCACGATTAAGCTAAGGATCAAGAGCACAAATTAATAACAATAATGTAAGAAATGCTGCGCTCTATCTTACCTCATTTATGGTGCTGTTCTTCTCTCCCACTTGGGCAAATAATTCCTCAATGTGTATACGATGAGTCTTTTCATTCGATTGCAAAGAATTGATGAGATCACTGCGTACTTCCAGCAATTGTTGATCACGTTGTATTTGCTGTTCCAGCTGACACATATTGAATTGAGCTTTGGATAGTTCTACTTTTAATTTATCAATTTCACGACGTTTCTCCACCTCGGATTGGCGAAATTTGGCGAACTGTAAAGAATTCATTTATTTTATAAAGTTTTGAGTATTTTTAGCAGTTTTTTATGGCACCTCTAGCTGCACTTCTTTAGAATAATCGGGCACCAGCTCAGAAGTATTGGCCTTGGCTTCATATTCCTTTTGTAGGTCTCTAAAAGGGGGACGTATATATATAATGTTCATAAAACTTAAAGTTTATAAAACTTACTGCAATTTAAGCTCGGTTTGCTGAAGTTTTTTATTAACATTTCTCAAATCGTTTAGTTCCTTAATTGAAACATTAAACTTATCTTTAAAAAGTTATTCCAAATTTTAGTTTAAGTTTTTACTAACCTGTTCCAGTTTATCTTTTTCTTGTAACTTGGCTTGATTTTCTGATTCTAAGCAATTGATTTTGTTTGTAAGTTCTGAAATTTGTTTCAAATGTTCCACACATTCATTGTGAGTTTTACTCTTTACTTTAGCTTCTAGTTCTTCCAGTTTATTGGACATTTCTTTTAAATTTATTTCCAATTTCTTTTTAGACTCTAAATCACTTTCAAATTTCTTAATTGTTTCAGATTTCAGCTTCAACTCCTTTTTCAAATGATTTAATTGCTGTTCCATGGTTTGAAATTTGGCATTTGTATTGTTCAAACTTTAAAAAGAAGAAGAAGAATAACAAATTAAGTTCTTCTAGTCAGCCATTTTGTTTAACAAACTTACCTTTCCCTACAAGTATTAAGTTCTTCCTGTAGTGAGCTTTTCTCCGCTAGTAAATTTTCTTTTTCCTTTTCCACATTTTGTATCGTAGATTTCGTTAGCTTTTCCTGCATTTTTAACTTCTTTTGCAGCTCTTTTATTTCCCCCAAATCCAATCTACTCTTCTCCTTTAAATCCCTTTCCCATTTGCCAACTTCCTCTTCATATTGTCTGCTTAAATCGTTATACTTTTCCTCCAAATTTCTTAAAGCTTTATTACTTTCCTAAACAAAACCTTATCATCATCCTAAACAAAACCTAATCCACAACCAATCCTACCTCTAACTTGCGTTTTAAATTAATCATTTCCACATCACAGTTATCCTTGGTAACAGCAGACATATCATCTATTAAGGCTAAAATATCATTGGATTGCAGGATCTATAAATAAAAATGAACTGTGTAACAAACCTTATTCTACCAAAACATTTCACCTAACTTACCTGCAATTCCTCTAATTTCTTTTGAAACTTTTCAATGTTCTGTAAATTGTTTTTATCACACACATTTAACTCCTCCTTAAAGGGAGAAAACCATTGATCCATATACATATTTATTTTAGTCTTAAATTCATTGAGTGATTCCGCTGCTGGAAGAGAAAGTAAATCAATTATGATCTTCTTAAATCTTAAGTTATTTTCCTAAATTATTTACATTTATCATTCACAAGTTCTTCCGGGAGTTCCTTAAGATTTTTGGCTTCTTGTGGTTTTATGTCAGAATCCAATTTCTCCATTTTATTATGATCTCCTGCCGTTGAAATCATTTTGCGTAAATTCGTTTCGTGCATTTCTTTGCTTTTGGGACAAGGTGTACTACGTGTGGATATGTTGGAAGCTGGAAAGATAATAATTTTTGTAATTTTCTAGTTTAGTGCTAGTTCTGTTCTAGTTCTGTTCTAGTTCTGTTCTAGTTCTGTTCTAGTTCTGTTCTAGTTCTGTTCTAGTTCTGTTCTAGTTCTGTTCTAGTTCTCTTCTAGTTCTGTTCTAGTTCTCTTCTAGTTCTGTCCTAGTTCTGTCCTAGTTCTGTTCTAGTTCTGTTCTAGTTCTGTTCTAGTTCTGTTCTAGTTCTGTTCTAGTTCTGTTCTAGTTCTGTTCTAGTTCTGTTCTAGTTCTGTTCTAGTTCTGTTTCTAGTTCTGTTCTAGTTGTGTTCTAGTTGAGTTCTAGTTCTGTTCAACTTCTGTTCTAGTTCTGTTGTAGTTCTGTTCTAGTTCTGTTCTAGTTCTGTTCTAGTTCTGTTCTAGTTCTGTTCTAGTTCTGTTCTAGTTCTGTTCTAGTTCTGTTCTAGTTCTGTTCTAGTTCTGTTCTAGTTCTGTTCTAGTTCTGTTCTAGTTCTGTTCTAGTTCTGTTCTAGTTCTGTTCTAGTTCTGTTCTAGTTCAGTTCTAGTTCTGTTCTAGTTCTGTTCTAGTTCGTTCTAGTTCTGTTGTAGTTCTGTTCTAGTTCTGTTCTAGTTCTGTTCTAGTTCTGTTCTAGTTCTGTTCTAGTTCTGTTCTAGTTCTGTTCTAGTTCTGTTCTAGTTCTGTTCTAGTTCTGTTCTAGTTCTGTTCTAGTTATGTTCTAGTTCTGTTCTAGTTCTGTTCTAGTTCTGTTCTAGTTCTGTTCTAGTTCTGTTCTAGTTCTGTTCTAGTTCTGTTTTTCTAGTGTTCGTTCTAGTTGTTAGTTCTGTTCTAGTTCTGTTCTAGTTCTGTTCTAGTTCTGTTCTAGTTGTGTTCTAGTTGAGTTCTAGTTCTGTTCAACTTCTGTTCTAGTTCTGTTGTAGTTCTGTTCTAGTTCTGTTCTAGTTCTGTTCTAGTTCTGTTCTAGTTCTGTTCTAGTTCTGTTCTAGTTCTGTTCTAGTTCTGTTCTAGTTCTGTTCTAGTTCTGTTCTAGTTGTGTTCTAGTTCTGTTCTATTTCTTTTCTAGTTCTGTTCTAGTTCTGTTCTAGTTCTGTTCTAGTTCTGTTCTAGTTCTGTTCTAGTTCAGTTCTGTTCTAGTTCAGTTCTGTTCTAGAGTTCTGTTCTAGTTCAGTTCTGTTCTAGTTCTGTTCTAGTTCAGTTCTGTTCTAGTTCAGTTCTGTTCTAGTTCTGTTCTAGTTCTGTTCTAGTTCTGTTCTAGTTCTGTTCTAGTTCTGTTCTAGTTCTGTTCTAGTTCTGTTCTAGTTCTGTTCTAGTTCTGTTCTAGTTCTGTTCTAGTTCTGTTCTAGTTCTGTTCTAGTTCTGTTCTAGTTCTGTTCTAGTTCTGTTCTAGTTCTGTTCTAGTTCTGTTCTAGTTCTGTTCTAGTTCTGTTCTAGTTCTGTTCTAGTTTCTGTTCTAGTTCTGTTCTAGTTCTGTTCTAGTTCTGTTCTAGTTCTGTTCTAGTTCTGTTCTAGTTCTGTTCTAGTTCTGTACTAGTTCTGTTCTAGTTCTGTTCTAGTTCTGTTCTAGTTCTGTTCTAGTTCTGTTCTAGTTCTGTTCTAGTTCTGTTCTAGTTCTGTTCTAGTTCTGTTCGAGTTCTGTTCTAGTTCTGTTCTAGTTTCTGTTCTAGTTCTGTTCTAGTTCTGTTCTAGTTCTGTTTCTAGTTCTGTTCTTGTTCTGTTCTAGTTCTGTTCTAGTTCTCTTGTAGTTCTGTTCTAGTTGTGTTGTAGTTCTGTTCTAGTTCTAGTTCTGTTCTAGTTCTGTTCTAGTTCTGTTCTAGTTCTAGTTCTGTTATAGTTCTGTTCTAGTTCTGTTCTAGTTCTGTTCTAGTTATGTTCTGTTCTAGTTCTGTTCTAGTTCTAGTTCTGTTCTAGTTCTGTTCTAGTTCTGTTCTAGTTCTGTTCTAGTTCTGTTCTAGTTCTGTTCTAGTTCTGTTCTAGTTCTGTTCTAGTTCTGTTTTAGTTCTGTTCTAGTTCTAGTTCTGTTCTAGTTCTGTTCTAGTTCTGTTCTAGTTCTGTTCTAGTTCTGTTCTAGTTCTGTTCTAGTTCTGTTCTAGTTCTGTTCTAGTTCTGTTCTAGTTCTGTTCTAGTTCTGTTCTAGTTCTAGTTCAAGTTCTGTTCTAGTTTTCTTTTGGATTAAAGCTTACCACTCCGTTTATTGGCTACCGAAACGGGCGTCTCCGAATTGGAACGAGCTGTTTGATTTTTAGCAATCCTTTTCTTTTGCTGCACAGTTGGACTTGATGTTATAAAACTAGATTTAGAAATGCTACTTGGCGTTTTATTCAGCTGTGGCGATGAAGATCTACTTTGACTTGTTTTGGACTTGGAGTTCATCAAATGTTGCTGCTTTATATCGAGCGCCTTCATCTCCGCTGTAAGCTTTTGTTGGGGAATTTTTCCAGATTGTGGAGGTAATTTTTTAGCTACATTCTGTGCTGTTGATATGCTATTCGTATTGGAACTGGAACTAGGCTAGAGAAATAAAATATAGTATTAGAAATAGAAATATATCTTAATTTCTCTTTAACTTACTGATTTTTTCATAAAAGGTATTTTCGACTTTGCCTGAGACTTTATGGTATTGGGTGATTTATTAGCTACTGGAGAGGGCTTTTCAAGAAAAAAGTAATTGATTATTTATAAAAGAAGTGAAATCTTATTAACACTTACAGTTTTCTTGGTTGGTATCACAGAAGTGTGCAAACGATCTTCATTTTTAACAAGACTTGTTTGACTTTTATTGCCATTCTTTGTGGTACTTTTCGGAGATTTATTGTCTTTTAATTTAGGTATAGATTTTGAACTTGCTTTTGGTGCTACAGCTTTAAGTTTAGCTTAAAAATTATATTACCGTTTTTTAATAAAATAATTTTAAACTTACTTGCTTTAAAACTTTTAACACTTGTTCTGCCTGGGGAATGATCTAATGTTTTGGCAACCACTTCTTGCGATTTTAATTTATCCTGATCTGTATTGTTTTAGAAAGCGTTAATATATGTATTAGCACTATAATCAGATAAAAGATTTGTTTTGTAATATTACCCAAACAGTTTTCATTTGCTGCTGTTAAAGGTATAGCAGAATTATCCATATTATTGTAAAATATTTTAAATTTCAATTTCGCTGTAATTTGTTGTAGTTTTAATAAATTTGCTTGAAAATTCCTATAATTCGGCAGGAAAATTTTAAGTTTTTATATAAAAAATATATTTTTATAAATTGGACAAACTTGAAGTCTAGCTGAAATTTGTAACAAATGTTACTGGGCCCAGTAATTTTTTATTTGCTATCCATTTATTATTACAGAGTTCGCAAACATAACTAAAGAATAGTTCAGGTCAGTTTTAGTTCTAGTTAATTTCCAGTTCAGTTCTATTTCAGTTCTAGTTCACTTCTAGATAAGTTCTAGTTCAGTTCTAGTTCAGTTCTAGTTCAGTTCTAGTTCAGTTCTAGTTCAGTTCTAGTTCAGTTCTAGTTCAGTTCTAGTTCAGTTCTAGTTCAGTTCTAGTTCAGTTCTAGTTCAGTTCTAGTTCAGTTCTAGTTCAGTTCTAGTTCAGTTCTAGTTCAGTTCTAGTTCAGTTCTAGTTCAGTTCTAGTTCAGTTCTAGTTCAGTTCTAGTTCAGTTCTAGTTCAGTTCTAGTTCAGTTCTAGTTCAGTTCTAGTTTAGTTCTAGTTTAGTTCTAGTTCAGTTCTAGTTCAGTTCTAGTTCAGTTCTAGTTCAGTTCTAGTTCAGTTCTCAGTTCTAGTTCAGTTCTAGTTCAGTTCTAGTTCAGTTCTAGTTCAGTTCTAGTTCAGTTCTAGTTCAGTTCTAGTTTAGTTCTAGTTCAGTTCTAGTTTAGTTCTAGTTCAGTTCTAGTTCAGTTCTAGTTCAGTTCTAGTTTAGTTCTAGTTCAGTTCTAGTTCAGTTCTAGTTCAGTTCTAGTTCAGTTCTAGTTCAGTTCTAGTTCAGTTCTAGTTCAGTTCTAGTTCAGTTCTAGCTCAGTTCTAGTTCAGTTCTAGTTCAGTTCTAGTTCAATTCTAGTTCAGTTCTAGTTCAGTTTTAGTTCTAGTTCTGTTCTAGTTCTGTTCTAGTTCTGTTCTAGTTCTGTTCTAGTTCTGTTCAAGTTCTGTTCTAGTTCTGTTCTAGTTCTGTTCTAGTTCTGTTCTAGTTCTGTTCTAGTTCTGTTCTAGTTCTGTTCTAGTTCTGTTCTAGTTCTGTTCTAGTTCTGTTCTGTTCTAGTTCTGTTTTAGTTCTGTTCTAGTTCTGTTCTAGTTCTGTTCTAGTTCTGTTCTAGTTCTGTTCTAGTTCTGTTCTAGTTCAGTTCTAGTTCAGTTCTAGTTCAGTTCTAGTTCAGTTCTAGTTCAGTTCTAGTTCAGTTCTAGTTCAGTTCTAGTTCAGTTCTAGTTCAGTTCTAGTTCAGTTCTAGTTCAGTTCTAGTTCAGTTCTAGTTCAGTTCTAGTTCAGTTCTAGTTCAGTTCTAGTTCAGTTCTAGTTCAGTTCTAGTTCAGTTCTAGTTCAGTTCTAGTTCAGTTCTAGTTCAGTTCTAGTTCAGTTCTAGTTCAGTTCTAGTTCAGTTCTAGTTCAGTTCTAGTTCAGTTCTAGTTCAGTTCTAGTTCAGTTCTAGTTCAGTTCTAGTTCAGTTCTAGTTCAGTTCTAGTTCAGTTCTAGTTCAGTTCTAGTTCAGTTCTAGTTCAGTTCTAGTTCAGTTCTAGTTCAGTTCTAGTTTATTTCTAGTTTAGTTCTAGTTCAGTTCTAGTTCATTTCTAGTTCTAGTTCATTTCTAGTTCTAGTTCAGTTCTAGTTCAGTTCTAGTTCAGTTCTAGTTCAGTTCTAGTTCAGTTCTAGTTCAGTTCTAGTTTAGTTCTAGTTCAGTTCTAGTTTAGTTCTAGTTCAGTTCTAGTTCAGTTCTAGTTCAGTTCTAGTTCTGTTCTAGTTCAGTTCTAGTTCAGTTCTAGTTCAGTTCTAGTTCAGTTCTAGTTCAGTTCTAGTTCAATTCTAGTTCAGTTCTAGTTCAGTTCTAGTTCAGTTTTAGTTCTAGTTCTGTTCTAGTTCTGTTCTAGTTCTGTTCTAGTTCTGTTCTAGTTCTGTTCTAGTTCTGTTCTGTTCTAGTTCTGTTCTAGTTCTGTTCTAGTTTTGTTCTAGTTCTGTTCGAGTTCTGTTCTAGTTCTGTTCTAGTTCTGTTCTAGTTCTGTTCTAGTTCTGTTCTAATTCAGTTCTTCTAGTTCTTTCTGCACATCATCCGTATACATTTCTTAGTAAAATCACTTTCATGTTTAGAAATTACAAATAAAAACAGAAAATTCGCCATAAAAATGTAAATAAAAACATAAAAAATAAAACTACAACAAAAAGCCGGAACAAGAAGATGCCGCACATACTAAATAAATCATCAACTGACCACAAAAAGAGAAACACCGACCATCTCTTTCTATTCAAAATTGTAAATGTACATGGGGAATCTCTACTCGGCTATTGACCACACGTATATATTTTATGCTCATTTCTGCCCTTTCAATTAATTTTAAACTCTTAGTGTAAGTGACACTTGTGTTCCTCCTACCTATACATAACCCCTCAGACCACCATTCCCACCTGATGCTATAACCCTCTTGCAATTTTCATTTATTTATTTTTTCTGTGTTTTTCAATTTTCTCAACCCCTTCTATATTCCGTTCATAGACGATTCAAATGCATCGCACTTGTATTCATTCATTCAGTTGACCATTAAACGTTGAGCATTCGAGTCTAATCATCGGGAACATTAGCAGCAGCTGCAGTACCAGTATAAACAGGAACATTTTGATTAAAGTAAAAGTGATTAAATAAAAAAAATTTGAATAAATAGTACGGGAAGAATTGTGTGTTGTATTTTTATTTCAATTAATTGATTCAATTGAAACGAATTTAATGCAAATTATTTGAAAAACAAAAATTGTTTACACAATTTTTTTTCCCATTTAAATTATAATCTTCAACGATTTTTATACTAGAGTAAAAGATTTTTTATTAACGAGAAACCTTACAAGTGAGTATTTTATTGCATTTAGTGTTAAAAGTAAAATTTTGGAAAATTAGGGATCAATTTAGTTAAAGGGTAGTTGAGATTTGTTAGATGATAAGTGGGTAAAGAAAGGAGTACTTAAATGAGATAATTTCAAACTAATTTTAAAATCTCTTAATCTATTGAAAATGTTCATGCTCGTAATATAGAGAATACAGTTCGTATACATATGCTGAAGAAAAAGACTCTAAAGTGATGCCAATTATTTAGAAAAATAAACGCGAAAAACGTTTAGCATTTTCTAGAATATAATCCAGACTATATACTAGACTATAGTTCAGAATACAGTCTAGATTATAGTTAAGACTAGATACAATAATATATTACAGACAATAGAATAGAATATAGTTCAGACTATAGATTAGACTATAGACAATACTATAGATTATACTATAGACTAGACTTGACTAAAGTCCAGATTATAGACCAGACAATATATTAGACTAAAGTCAAGACCATAGACCAGACCATATGCTAGACTAAAGTCAAGACTAAACACTAGGCCATAGGCCAGACTATAGATTGGACTATTGTATATACTATAGACTACACATTAGTATAATCTATAGTCTGGCTTTTAGTCTAGTGTATAGTCCAGACTATAGACTAGAATACAATCCAGACTATAGACTAGACTATAATCCAGACTATAGACTAAGCTATAATAAGCTATAATACTATAGACTAGACTATAGTTCAGACTATAGACTAGACTATAGTCCAGATTATAGACTACACTATAGTCCAGACTATGGACTTGATTATAGTCCAAACTATAAACTAGACTATACTCCAGACTAAAGACTGGACTATAGTCCAGACTATAGACTAGAATATAGTCCTGACTATAGACTAGACTATAGTCCAGATTATAGACTAGACTACAGTTCAGATTATAGTCCAGAATATAGACTAGACTATAGTCCAGACTATAGTCCATAATATGGACTAGACTATAATCCAGTCTATAGTCTGGACTATAGTCTAGTCCAGACTATAGACTAGACTATAGTCCAAGCTATATACTAGAATATAGTTCAGACTAGAGTCCAGGCTATAGACTAGACTATAGTCCACAATATGGACTAGACTATAATCCAGTCTATAATCTGGACTATAGTCTAGTCCAAACTATAGACTAGGCTATAGTCCAAGCTATATACTAGATTATAGTTCAGACTATAGTCCAGACTATAGACTAGACTATAGTCCATAATATGGACTAGACTACAATCTAGTCTATAGTCTGGACTATAGTCTAGTCCAGACTATAGACTAGAATATAGTCAAAACTATAGTCAAAACTATAGTCCAAACTATAGTCCAAACTATAGTCCAAACTATAGACTAGACTTTAGTCCAGAGTATAGGCTAGACTATAGTCCAGAGTATAGACTAGATTATAGTCCAGACTATAGACTAGGCTATAGTCCAGACTATAGACCATAGTTCAGACTATAGACCATAGTTCAGACTATAGACTGGACTATAGTCCAGATTATTGACTAGACTGTAGTCGAGACTATATACTAGACTATAGTCCAAACTATAGACTAGACTATAGTCCAGACTATTGACTAGACTATAGTTCAGACTATAGACTAGACTACAGTCCAGACTAAAGTTCATACTATAGACTAGACTATAGTCTAGACTAGACTATAGATTAGACTAAAGTCCAGACTATAGACTAGACTAGAGACTAGACTAGAGATTAAGCCATATTCTGACTAGTCTATAGTCCGGCCTATACATATACTCCCCTTATTTCGCTATAGTTTATTAATATAAAAATATAACTTTTGTTTAACTGCGCCATACTATTTGCTAGTATATTCTATACTATATAGTTTATTATGAAATTGATAAGTGTTTGTTTTTATTCTAGATTAGCGGGCTTTTTAGTCAAGATCAAAATAGTATATTAATTAATATCAATTACAACAAAAATCTCCTATTACTCACAAGCACATGTTTTATTTATATTTTACCAGCAAAATGAATTGGTTGTCATTAGCCATTTCCATATCGGCTACTCTAAATATAGCGTTAGCTTGTAGTCGCGTGCCAACAGGTACCACGGCTGCCAAATCACCGGCCGATGAAAGTTATGTGGTCTCAGTGGCCGGAAATCCACAAACTTATATACCGGGTCAGAAATATAATGGTAAGTTAAGAAATTGATCTTTAAAGTTTCCATCATTTTTAAAAGTTTTTTGATTTGCAGTATCCATTATAGCCTACAATGATCAAACTTTTATTAGTTTCATGCTGGGTTTGGAATCTGAGTCGGGAGGAGGTTTTGAAGCGGTGGGCTCATTTGAAATAGTAGATTTAGCCGAAACACGCTATAGTCCCCGTTGTGCCAATTTAGTGGAAAATACTAATACCAATATTAAGTCTCGCATAGATGTGGTTTGGGTGGCTCCCGCCAGTTCTAACATGGGTTGTGTACTCTTGAGAGCTACCATAGTGCAGCATCGTGATGTTTGGTTTATGGATGATGGTTTCTTAACCAAGAGAATGTGCGAGGAGGAAGTAGATGATATTGATACTCAGCCCAGTATTACGGAACCTTGTTGTGCCTGTTATGAGGCTAAATATGAATTAACCTTTGAGGGCAAATGGTCTAGACATACCCACCCCAAAGATTTTCCCGCCAATAGTTGGCAGACACGTTTTAGCGACATTATAGGAGCATCACACACCGTTGATTATCGTTTTTGGGAATATGGTAAAAACGCGAGTGAAGGTTTAAGGGAAGTGGCGGAACATGGTTCTACCAGGACTTTGGAAAGTGAACTTAAAGAAAAGGTTTGTTCTTTCGTTAATACTTAAGATTAATGTCTTAATAGAGTCTTCGTTTTAGAGTGATCAAATACGCACTATTATCAAGGCTAGAGGTATTACTTATCCTAATATAACGGGCAAGACCTTCGCCGTTTTTCGTGTCGATTCGAAACATCATTTGATATCTTTAGTGTCAATGATTGATCCCTCACCCGATTGGATTGTGGGTGTTTCCGGTTTGGAATTATGTTTGCCAAATTGCACTTGGGTAGAGAAAAAGGTTCATAATCTCTATCCCTGGGACGCGGGAACAGATAGTGGACCATCATATACGGTAGGTATTAAAAACAATACATTTCATCAAAAACTGAAACTCAAGAGAAAGGTACTAGAGAAAGATCTAACGCTAGCTCAGGATTTTCTCTATACTAAAGAAAGATCTATAGCTCATGCGAAAGATTTTCGCTTTAGAACATAATAAATTTGAAATTCCTTTTAGTCTGCAGATCAACCCCAATTGCCCCCGGATGTAATAAGACGTATCAAACCCAATTTCCCAAATGATCCGCGATCACCATTTTATGATCCCTCTGGGGCACCCATGAAGCCTTTGGCCACATTGTATATAAATCGACGACGTTTATATGAAAAGACCTGTGATAAGTCCGATGGTGAGTAGCATAAACTAAAAGGAAAGGACTCTTAACGGATTTTTACCTCTTTTTACAGATGAAGACGAACCACCACAATGCGACACCACCGCTTGGTCCCGCTGGGATGAGTGTAGCGCTGAATGTGGTCCGGGCAAACAATATCGTACTAGAGAATTTAAAAATGCCGCCTTAGCTTGGCGTTTCAAATGTCGTACTAGTCTAAGGGAGGAACAGGACTGTACAGGCAGTAAATGTAACTCATTTGATGAGGAGGTAGCCGCAGCCATAGAAACGGAAAATCTGCAAGTGGGTCATACACCTGAAACGCCAGAATGTGCCATTTCGGATTGGGGGGAATGGTCTTCATGTTCGGTGTCCTGTGGCATAGGAACTGAGAGGCGTACGAGACATTATTTAAATCCTCGAGCTAAGAAAAAGTGTCAGGTAGGTTAGGAACTAATTTAAAGGTTCAAAAATCATGTAAAGTTTTTTATTCCCCTTTCTTACAGCAAGTCAGCCGTGTTAGACTGCAGGAGCAACGCAATTGCAAGGGAGTGGACTGTGGTGGCGATATTAATGGCAATGGCAACAAAAACAACGAGGAGCATGAGGCCCAGGTGGATGGCACCCGATCTCTGTTTGGCAATATAGACAATGAAATACGTTATCGCGACTTGGAGAGTTTAAGTCAAAAACTCGATGATTATATACCACCCGAATGTGGTGTTTCCCACTGGTCTGATTTCTCACCCTGTTTGGGTCCCTGCGGTGGCATTGGCACTAGTGAACGTCTACGTGTTGTGTGGAATAATGATGAAGTTTATGGGGTACGTAAACCCGATCATGATGACAATTTAGATCCTTGTCGCCATATTAAACGTAGAGAAGTTGTTAATTGCACTATACCCAGTTGTGATGCCATAGTTCCCACCCTCTGCTATGAAGATCTCAAGGTTAGTTCGTGTCGTGATAGTGATGTAACCAATTATTGGTTCTATGATCATATGAGTGATCAATGTGCCATTTTCTGGGCCGATAAATGTGACAAAAATCGCAATAAATTTCCCTCCAAAGAGGCGTGTGAGGAAACCTGTCGTCAGCCGAGACAAAAAATGGAATTACAAAGTGAAAGCTTGCAAGTGGCACCCATCGATTGTCTGGTCTCCGATTGGGTAAGTCATGCCTGTAATGCCACCTGCGGCGATGGTGTTCAAATCAAAACCCGCAAAGTTTTAAGATCACCCAAATATGGTGGTAAACCTTGTCCCAAACATTTGGTGCGTTTGGAAAAATGCTATCAACGTTGTGAAGATATCTATTCGGTGGATGGTTATAGTTCCGCCACTTATACTGGTGAACGTCGACGTAACACCGCCAAACATCATTTTAGGGCACAGGAGAAGGAAAAGAGTGAGTGCCGCTACTCTGAGTGGTCGGTCTGGACTCCTTGCACTGTGAGTTGTGGCAATAATTCGTATCGTCAAAAGACTCGCACTCTACTCAACACCGATTTGAGTTATAAGTGCAAGGATCGTGTTAGAATTGAAAAATGCTCAATGTTACCATGTCTTTTGAATAGTAATGATGACACTGACAAGTGGTAAAGTTGTAATATGGAGATTACATAGTAATTTAGTATTTAGAAAAACATTAACAATAAAATGTGTGTCTGTATTAATGTAATCGTTTAATTAATAAAGAATAATTCACAAACCTACAGAAACTTTCATTAAGATTCTTCCTAGGGATCTATCACTCAAGAACTAGAACTGAACTAGAACTGAACTAGAACTGAACTAGAACTAGAACTAGAACTAGAACTAGAACTGAACTAGAACTGAACTAGAACTGAACTAGAACTGAACTAGAACTGAACTAGAACTGAACTAGAACTGAACTAGAACTGAACTAGAACTGAACTAGAACTGAACTAGAACTGAACTAGAACTGAACTAGAACTGAACTAGAACTGAACTAGAACTGAACTAGAACTGAACTAGAACTGAACTAGAACTGAACTAGAACTGAACTAGAACTGAACTAGAACTGAACTAGAACTGAACTAGAACTGAACTAGAACTGAACTAGAACTGAACTAGAACTGAACTAGAACTGAACTAGAACTGAACTAGAACTGAACTAGAACTGAACTAGAACTGAACTAGAACTGAACTAGAACTGAACTAGAACTGAACTAGAACTGAACTAGAACTGAACTAGAACTGAACTAGAACTGAACTAGAACTGAACTAGAACTGAACTAGAAAAATGAACTAGAACTGAACTAGAACTGAACTAGAACTGAACTAGAACTGAACTAGAACTGAACTAGAACTGAACTAGAACTGAACTAGAACTGAACTAGAACTGAACTAGAACGGAACTAGAACTGAACTAGAACTGAACTAGAACTGAACTAGAACTGAACTAGAACTGAACTAGAACTGAACTAGAACTGAACTAGAACTGAACTAGAACTGAACTAGAACTGAACTAGAACTGAACTAGAACTGAACTAGAACTGAACTAGAACTGAACTAGAACTGAACTAGAACTGAACTAGAACTGAACCTAGAAATGAACTAGAACTGAACTAGAACTGAACTAGAACTGAACTAGAACTGAACTAGAACTGAACTAGAACTGAACTAGAACTAGAACTGAACTATAACTGAACTAGAACTAGAACTGAACTAAAAACTGATCTAGAACTAGAACTGAACTAGAACTGAACTAGAACTGAACTAGAACTGAACTAGAACTGAACTGAAACTAGAACTGAACTAGAACTAAACTAGAACCGTTTTAAAACTTCTCAAATACTAATAAAAATTTTAAAGATTCGATTTGAGGTCATTGAACGCTACTTTGACTAAAATGAGAGATACAATATGTTTATAAGTTAATTATTTGACACTCTGTCTCTGTCCTCTCTCAGTAACAAATTTAGAGCAATAAACTTTTTTCATGACACAGCATTAATTGAAGCGCGTGGCAACTTTTCACTAGATCAATGAATGAATAAGTGGATGAATGAATGAATTGAATTTGAACTATTTAATGATTGTGTACAGCAACAACAATACTATGACGGCGACAAGACAAGATTATATGCAGTAAAAGATGCCGATTGACACAGTGAAACACACCCCATTTCCACACATAAAAGTATTTTTTAGAAAAACTATGTTTTTCTGATTGTTTCAAAACAGTGATCGGCATTCAAAGCTAGCAGAGAATAAGAGTCATTAGTTCACATGAAAGCTAATGTGATGTTGACTTTTAATAAAGCTTTTCAGCTTTTAATCAACGCATGTTGATTCTGTTTCTCTTATTGATCATGAGCTCTTTGTGTGTTTCACTGATTTTTATAGTAAATATACTACACACTCAATTAATTGATACGAGTGGAAGCAATTGTCAAAACAACTTAATTAGGGGGTAAAAATTCAAACAAATTAATGGGTTAAATGGCCGCTGAGCTAGACATGGAAGAAAATTTAAAAGAAAGACAAAAACTATGTCACAGTTTTCGCTTTCAAATCAATGATCAATATTGTCGATCAGTCTTTCTTTAAACGAGTAACGTTTAAGATCGTGAAGCAAAACACTTCCGTGAAATAATGTTCGAAAGAATAGTAGTGTTTTTATGCGTTTTAATTTTATCAGAAATAAATTTAACTACTGCGGCCTGTTATCGTAAACCTCAAGGAGCTACGGGAGATCGTTCGCCCGTGGATGAAAACTATCAAATACTAATAGATGGCAATCCTGCAACCTATATACCGGGTCAACAATATAATCGTAAAATCCAGATTTTCTTTAAAATGTGAATGCGTTATTTTAAATCCCTCCTCATTAGTTTCTCTTTCCAGTACGAATGGTTTAAAGTTTATAAGTTTTACTTTATTGGTGGAGGCGGAAACTCCGTCGCTCTTAGCCACCTCTCCTAATGCAGCAGATAATGTTCTGGGCCGCTTTGAGATAATAGATAATGCCGAGACGCGTTTCAGCACTTTGTGTGAGAATATGATAGAGAGCAGTAATACTAATACCAAAAATCGTATCGATGTTGCTTGGATGGCTCCCTCTGATGCCCAAGGTGGCTGTGTTTTATTTAAGGCGGCCATTTTACAACATCGCAATGTTTGGTTTGTAGACGATGGTTTTCTAACCAAACGTTTGTGTCCCGAGGAAATTGATGAAATCAATAGTCAAACGCCTCCAGTTAATCCCTGCTGTGCCTGTGATGAGGCCAAATATGAGGTATATTGTAAAAGGAAAAGAAGATTTTTTGTTTACCTTCCCTTTCTTATCAATTCAGATTACTCTGGAGCGTAAATGGATGCGCAATACCCATGCCAAGGACTTTCCTTCGGAGGCCTGGCGCACTCGTTTGGGCGAGGTTATAGGCGCCTCGCATAGTTTGGATTTTCGTTTTTGGGAATATGGTGGTCGTGCCAGTCAGGGTTTGCAGGAATTGGGAGAACATGGTGCCACCAAAACTTTAGAGAATGAAATCAAGCAACATACCTCGGTAAGTGGAAGTATAAGGAAAAACTAACTTGTAAAAAATTTCTTCTTTTAGACCGGCTATATACGCACCATAATCAAGGCCCCTGGTATCGCCTATCGGCCCAATGTTATTGGCAAAACTTTAGCCACTGTAAGAGTAGGACCAAATCATCATGTTATCTCTTTAGTATCGAAAATAGATCCCTCCCCCGATTGGATTTTAGGAGTGTCAGGCTTAGAGCTATGTTTAGCCAATTGTACCTGGATAGAGCAAAAAGTATTAAATCTCTATCCCTGGGATATAGGCACCGATGCCGGACCCTCCTATATGGTAAATACAAGTTCCATAACAAAATACAAAAACCTTTAAATCTTTCTTTCAAAGTCCCCCGATCAGTCACAACATCCTCCTGATGTTATAAGACGCATAACATCTACCTTTCCCAGTGATTATCGTTCACCATTTTTTGATGAAACTGGAGCCCCTATGAAACCTTTGGCCACTCTCACCGTAAAACGCAAACGGACCTATGAAAGAGAATGTGATTTTGGTGGGTAAACTAGAAGCTAAAGATATATCATATAAACATTTCTGTTTCTTAGAGCAAACTGGACCCTTGGAATGTTCCACCCACCCCTGGTCTAGCTGGACTGAGTGTAGTGCTAAGTGTGGTGCTGGCACCCAATATCGTACACGAGCCTATAAGGACCCCAGGGTAGCGGAGAGTTTTAACTGTAAAGTGGTTTTAAGGCAAAATCAAAATTGTGTGGGGACTCAGTGTGGAATACAACAACCCGATTTGCCGGGAGCAGAATGTGAACTCACAAATTGGTCTCAATGGTCGGAATGTTCGAAAAAGTGTGGCAAAGGATTTCAGACTCGTACCAGAGATTATAGTAATCCTTATGCTAAAGAGAAATGTCAGGTAAAGAGCATTTTTTTGAAAGACAAGACTATAGACTAGACTATAGACTAGACTATAGACTAGACTAGACTATAGACTAGACTATAGACTAGACTATAGACTAGACTATAGACTAGACTATAGACTAGACTATAGACTAGACTATAGACTAGACTATAGACTAGGCTATAGACTACACTATAGACTAGACTATAGACTAGACTATAGACTAGACTATAGACTAGACTATAGACTAGACTATAGACTAGACTATAGACTAGACGATAGACTAGACTATAGACTAGACTATAGACTAAACTATAGACTACACTATAGACTAAACTATAGACTACACTATAGACTAAACTATAGACTACACTATAGACTAGACTATAGACTAGACTATAGACTAGACTATAGACTAGACTATAGACTAGACTATAGACTAGACTATAGACTAGACTATAGACTAGACTATAGACTAGACTATAGACTAGACTATAGACTAGACTATAGACTAGACTATAGACTAGACTATAGACTAGACTATAGACTAGACTATAGACTAGACTATAGACTAGACTATAGACTAGACTATAGACTAGACTATAGACTAGACTATAGACTAGACTATAGACTAGACTATAGACTAGACTATAGACTAGACTATAGACTAGACTATAGACTAGACTATAGACTAGACTATAGACTAGACTATAGACTAGACTATAGACTAGACTATAGACTAGACTATAGACTAGACTATAGACTAGACTATAGACTAGACTATAGACTAGACTATAGACTAGACTATAGACTAGACTATAGACTAGACTATAGACTAGACTATAGACTAGACTATAGACTAGACTATAGACTAGACTATAGACTAGACTATAGACTAGACTATAGACTAGACTATAGACTAGACTATAGACTAGACTATAGACTAGACTATAGACTATAGACTAGACTATAGACTAGACTATAGACTAGACTATAGACTAGACTATAGACTAGACTATAGACTAGACTATAGACTAGACTATAGACTAGCCACTAGGCTAGACTATAGACTAGACTAGACTAGACTATAGACTAGCCACTAGGCTAGACTATATACTAGACACTAGGCTAGACTATAGACTAGACACTAGGCTAGACTGTAGACTGAACTATGGAGCAATATTTATAAAATTAGTTTTATTTTTAGGCTGGTGTTCCAGTGGACCTGCAGCAAACACGCTCCTGCAATGGCGAAAATTGTGGAGGCAGTATTTATAGCTCCGCTTACGATAGCATTAACAGCGATATGTTTAACCAAAATTTCGAGGAACCAGAACAAGAGCAAAGTCCCTATCAACCCACAAAATTTGAAAGAAAACCTTTTAACAAACCTCAACAACAGCGACCCAAATGGAAAGCCCCGGAAGTTGAGGAAGATCTAGAAACAAGTTATGGAGCTCCCTCTTATAATCCCATGAATTTTGATAATGATAATAGCAATTTCAGAAATCAAGTCTCAAGACCCATTATACCTAACGAAAACGAACAAGAAGAGTTTGTTGATGTCAACAATATTTATGGCAATGAAAAATTGATAGGCGCTAAAGGTCGTCGTCCTTATGAGGAAGAACAAATAGAAAATACCAATATATTTGGGGAGTTAGAAGGCTCATTTGGGGGTGGTAACAAACGTTTGACAAATACCAGGAAATCTAACTTAAAGCCCAACAAACAATATGGCTTAGAAACTAATAGACCCAATCCTAGGGAAGAGGATAGTTTCAGTAATCGTGCTGGTTTTGGCAATACTGGTAATACTTTCACTAAGTTACGGGATCCTTATGGTTTCAAGACGATTGAGGGCCAGGGACAGGAAGAAGTTGAACAAGCGGATAGTTATTGTTTATATAAACCGGTGGGCAATCCGGATCCCTGCAACAAGAAACGTTTAATAGTGAAAAACTATTGGTTTTATGATGCTGAAGATGGAGACTGTAAACTATTTACCGCCGATAATTGTGATGAGAATAAAAATAAATTTTGGAGTATGGAAAGGTGTTTAGAGGCTTGCTCCCAGGTGGGCATTAAGAGGACTCAAGTAGAGGAAGTGGATGTGTACAATAATAGAGGAGGCTACATCAATAGGGGTTTCGAAACCGGACAGCAGCCACCCTATAGGCCAAGATGGAATTATAGGAAATAAACATACTTTAAATATTGCTAAAGTCGAAAGATTTTTTAAGAAAATTATTAAAAATTCAACTAATTAAGAACTTTTCTCGAATAAAAACAATTTTTTTCAATTAAAAATTATAAAATTTATTTCAAATTTCCGACATTAATATATAAAATTAGTTCGACAGTCGAAAAAACTCTTTGTAGAACTCTCTTTAGGAATTATTTCCCAATATTACCAACTATAGCGCTTCGCTTTACAAACAATCTTTTCAAAAATACTTTCTTCCCTCAGCTAACCTTGAAATCGTCAGACCGCGGATTGAGTAAGAGTCAGCAAAAGCGATAAGAAATTATTCAATATATTTGCAAATTCTCTTTAAACATTTCATCATAAACAAAAAAAAAAAAAAAAACAAGATTACACACAAATAGCGAGGAGAGAGAGTCCAAACAATGTGACTTTTTTTTATAAAATTTTAATCTTGACTTAAATTTTTTAATGGAAATTTCAAATTAGTTTTAAATAAACAACTCAATCATAAAGATCTGCGAAAATGAAGTGGTCGGAAATTTTATTTATTTTATTATTGACAATACCGGAAAATATATTTGCACGTCGCTGCAGTCGCTATCCTTCGAATACTTTTACGCCTAAATCACCAGTTGATGAAAATTTTGTTATATCTATAACGGGTAATGCTCAGACGTATATATTGGGTCAGAGTTATAATGGTAAGTGTGTTGAGTTTGTTGTTTTTCTTTTATAGAAGGGACGAAGAGTTAATATATTCAGCATTTAAGCTAGACGCCTCGATGTCTGGTTGTCGCGTCATAATATTAAATGTGTTTTGATTTTTTAATGGTGGCATTGAACTTAAACTTGGATTTAGAGGAATGTTTCGTTCGTTCACAGCTAACTCTTACATACAACACCATTTCCTGAGAGAACTCTATTGCAGTTCTAATTCAGTTCTAGTTCAGTTCTAGTTCAGTTCTAGTTCAGTTCTAGTTCAGTTCTAGTTCAGTTCTAGTTCAGTTCTAGTTCAGTTCTAGTTCAGTTCTAGTTCAGTTCTAGTTCAGTTCTAGTTCAGTTCTAGTTCAGTTCTAGTTCAGTTCTAGTTCAGTTCTAGTTCAGTTCTAGTTCAGTTCTAGTTCAGTTCTAGTTCAGTTCTAGTTCAGTTCTAGTTCAGTTCTAGTTCAGTTCTAGTTCAGTTCTAGTTCAGTTCTAGCTCAGTTCTAGTTTAGTTCTAGTTCAGTTCTAGTTAAGTTCTAGTTCAGTTCTAGTTCAGTTCTAGTTCAGTTCTAGTTCAGTTCTAGTTCAGTTCTAGTTCAGTTCTAGTTCAGTTCTAGTTCAGTTCTAGGTCAGTTCTAGTTCAGTTCTAGTTCAGTTCTAGTTCAGTTCTAGTTCAGTTCTAGTTCAGTTCTAGTTCAGTTCTAGTTCAGTTCTAGTTCAGTTCTAGTTCAGTTCTAGTTCATTTCTAGTTCAGTTCTAGTTCAGTTCTAGTTCAGTTCTAGTTCAGTTCTAGTTCAGTTCTAGTTCAGTTCTAGTTCAGTTCTAGTTCATTCTAATTCAGTTCTAGTTCAGTTCTAGTTCAGTTCTAGTTCAGTTCTAGTTCAGTTCTAGTTCATTTCTAGTTCATTTCTAGTTCAGTTCTAGTTCAGTTCTAGTTCAGTTCTAGTTCAGTTCTAGTTCAGTTCTAGTTCTAGTTCTAGTTCAGTTCTAGTTCAGTTCTAGTTCAGTTCTAGTTCAGTTCTAGTTCAGTTCTAGTTCAGTTCTAGTTCAGTCTAGTTGAGTTCTAGTTCAGTTCTAGTTCAGTTCTAGTTCAGTTCTAGTTCAGTTCTAGTTAGTTCTAGTTCAGTTCTAGTTCAGTTCTAGTTCAGTTCTAGTTCAGTTCTAGTTCAGTTCTAGTTCAGTTCTAGTTCAGTTCTAGTTCAGTTCTAGTTCAGTTCTAGTTCAGTTCTAGTTCAGTTCTAGTTCAGTTCTAGTTCAGTTCTAGTTCAGTTCTAGTTCAGTTCTAGTTCAGTTCTAGTTCAGTTCTAGTTCAGTTCTAGTTCAGTTCTAGTTCAGTTCTAGTTCAGTTCTAGTTCAGTTCTAGTTCAGTTCTAGTTCAGTTCTAGTTCAGTTCTAGTTCAGTTCTAGTTCAGTTCTAGTTCAGTTCTAGTTCAGTTCTAGTTCAGTTCTAGTTCAGTTCTAGTTCAGTTCTAGTTCAGTTTCTAGTTCAGTTCTAGTTCAGTTCTAGTTCAGTTCTAGTTCAGTTCTAGTTCTAGTTCAGTTCTAGTTCAGTTCTAGTTCAGTTCTAGTTCAGTTCTAGTTCAGTTCTAGTTCAGTTCTAGTTCAGTTCTAGTTCAGTTCTAGTTCAGTTCTAGTTCAGTTCTAGTTCAGTTCTAGTTCAGTTCTAGTTCAGTTCTAGTTCAGTTCTAGTTCAGTTCTAGTTCAGTTCTAGTTGAGTTCTAGTTTAGTTCTGGTTCAGATCTAGTTCAGTTCTAGTTCCGTTCTAATTCAATTTTAGTTCTCTTTTGGAAATGGTGTACTATATACTATAATCCCACGCTAGTTTGTATTGGCAACAATCTGAAATACTTTTTATTGTTTTACTAATTTGGTCGTTTGGCTGATAAAAGATTCGAAATCTTTCTTTAAGGTTAATTATGGCGTTTAAGTGATAACAACGATTTTTTTTATTTCTTAAATGTAAACAACTTGGAAACTTAAATATTTTCTGTTTTCCGTAAAGTGATTCATGTGTTTTTTATTTACTTCCCTAACGAATTGGAAATTTCTATTAGTTTCTTTAAATGCTTACAACGGTCGTCGTTTTATAAGCGCTAAGCTGGTGTTGGAAAATGAAAATGGTGAAAAACCCATAAATGGAGATTTGGGTCATTTAGAAGTGGTGGATCCGGTGGAGACGCGTTATAGTCAACAGTGTATTAATATGGTGGAGAGTACTAACACCAATCCCAAAACTAGAATGGATTTTGTTTGGACAGCTCCAGTGGATGCGGGAAATGGTTGTGTTCTGATACGAGCCACTGTATTGCAACATCGGGATGTTTGGTTTATGGATGATGGTGGTTTAACAAAACGTATATGCGAGGAGGTAGTCGATGATATGGAGAGTCAGAGAAAGATTTAGACGAGAGACTCTGTTGTGCCTGTGATGAGGCACGTTATGAGGTATGTTCATTACTTAAACGTTTTCTCAAGTAATAAAATCTTTTATAAATGTTTCGTTTTGTAGATCACCTTTGAAGGCCTTTGGTCGCGCAATCTTCATCCCAAAGATTACCCAGCTCGCGGCTGGCTAACCCGCTTTAGTGATATTTTGGGTGCTGCTCATACTTCTGATTATCGTTTTTGGGATAAAGGCAGTTTGGCCTCGCCAGAAATGCAAGAATTTGCCGAACATGGCTCTTCCCAGGGTTTGGAGAGAGAATTTAATAGACATTTTAAGGTAAGTTAAAGTTTATGAAAAATTTTATGAACAAATCTTAAAAGTTTTCTATTTAATTTAAAAAGGATGGTAAAATCCGGACTATTATTAAGTCAAGAGGTCCTGCCTTTCCCTATATAAATAGTCCTTCGGTAGCATCGGTACGTGTCGATCCTTTACATCATCAAATTTCAATTGCTTCGAAAATTATGCCCTCACCCGATTGGATTGTAGGAGTACCAGGTTTGGAGTTATGTGCCAGCAACTGTACATGGTTGGAGGAGAAGGTGATAAATTTGTATCCTTGGGATATTGGCACCGATGCCGGTCCAACGTATACCGTAAGTTACAGTTATTTTATGTAAATTCAAAGGCTAGTTAATAGACAGTTCCAGCAATTCAGTCCAGTATATATCTAATTAAGTTCCAGTTCATATATAGTTCAGTCTAATTCAGTTCTAGTTCAGTTGTAGTTCAGTTCTAGTTCAGTTCTAGTTCAGTTCTAGTTCAGTTCTAGTTCAGTTCTAGTTCAGTTCTAGTTCAGTTCTAGTTCAGTTTTAGTTCAGTTCTAGTTCAGTTCTAGTTCAGTTCTAGTTCAGTTCTAGTTCAGTTCTAGTTCAGTTCTAGTTCAGTTCTAGTTCAGTTCTAGTTCAGTTCTAGTTCAGTTCTAGTTCAGTTCTAGTTCAGTTCTAGTTCAGTTCTAGTTCAGTTCTAGTTCAGTTCTAGTTCAGTTCTAGTTCAGTTCTAGTTCAGTTCTGATTCAGTTCTAGTTCAGTTCTAGTTCAGTTCTAGTTCAGTTCTGATTCAGTTCTAGATCAGTTCTAGTTCAGTTCTAGTTCAGTTCCAGTTAAGTTCTAGTTAAGTTCTAGTTCAGTTCTAGTTCAGTTCTAGTTCAGTTCTAGTTCAGTTCTAGTTCAGTTCTAGTTCAGTTCTAGCTCAGTTCTAGTTCAGTTCTAGTTCAGTTCTAGTTCAGTTCTAGTTCAGTTCTAGTTCAGTTCTAGTTCTAGTTCAGTTCTAGTTCAGTTCTAGTTCAGTTCTAGTTCAGTTCTAGTTCAGTTCTAGTTCAGTTCTAGTTCAGTTCTAGTTCAGTTCTAGTTCAGTTCTAGTTCAGTTCTAGTTCAGTTCTAGTTCAGTTCTAGTTCAGTTCTAGTTCAGTTTAGTTCAGTTCTAGTTCAGTTCTAGTTCAGTTCTAGTTCAGTTCTAGTTCAGTTCTAGTTCAGTTCTAGTTCAGTTCTTTCAAGTTCTGTTCAAGTTCAGTTCAAGTTCAGTTCTAGTTCTTTCTAGTTCAGTTCTAGTTCAGTTCTAGTTCAGTTCTAGTTCAGTTCTAGTTCAGTTCTAGTTCAGTTCTAGTTCAGTTCTAGTTCAGTTCTAGTTCAGTTCTAGTTCAGTTCTAGTTCAGTTCTAGTTCAGTTCTAGTTCTAGTTCTAATTCTAGTTCAGTTCTAGTTCAGTTCTAGTTCAGTTCTAGTTCAGTTCTAGTTCAGTTCTAGTTCAGTTCTAGTTCAGTTCTAGTTCAGTTTTAGTTCAGTTCTAGTTCAGTTCTAGTTCAGTTCTAGTTCAGTTCTAGTTCAGTTCTAGTTCAGTTCTAGTTCAGTTCTAGTTCAGTTCTAGTTCAGTTCTAGTTCAGTTCTAGTTCAGTTCTAGTTCAGTTCTAGTTCAGTTTCTAGTTCAGTTCTAGTTCAGTTCTAGTTCAGTTCTAGTTCTAGCTGAGTTCTGGTTCAGTTCTAGCTGAGTTCTAGTTCAGTTCTAGTTCAGTTTCTAGTTCAGTTCTAGTTCAGTTCTAGTTCAGTTCTAGTTCAGTTTAGTTCAGTTCTAGTTCAGTTCTAGTTCAGTTCTAGTTCAGTTCTAGTTCAGTTCTAGTTCAGTTCTAGTTCAGTTCTAGTTCAGTTCTAGTTCAGTTCTAGTTCAGTTCTAGTTCAGTTCTAGTTCAGTTCTAGTTCAGTTCTAGTTCAGTTCTAGTTCAGTTCTAGTTCAGTTCTAGTTCAGTTCTAGTTCAGTTCTAGTTCAGTTCTAGTTCAGTTCTAGTTCAGTTCTAGTTCAGTTCTAGTTCAGTTCTAGTTCAGTTCTAGTTCAGTTCTAGTTCAGTATTCAGTTCTAGTTCAGTTCTAGTTCAGTTCTAGTCGTTGTTCTAGTTCAGTTTCTAGTTTCAGTTCAGTTCTAGTTCAGTTCTAGTTCTAGTTCAGTTCTAGTTTAGTTCTAGTTCAGTTCTAGTTCTAGTTCAGTTCTTGTTCAGTTCTTGTTCAGTTCTAGTTCAGTTCTAGATCAGTTCTAGTTCAGTTCTAGTTCAGTTCTAGTTCAGTTCTAGTTCAGTTCTAGTTCAAGTCTATATCTGTTCTAAATTTTTATTATTTAGTCTCCCGATCAGCCACAATATCCCGCCGATGTTATAAGACGTATGAGCTCTGAGTATCCGCCAGATCCACGTTCACCCTTTTTCGATGAAACTCATGCGCCTATGAAGCCCTTGGCCACCTTAACCATTAAAAGGCAACGTCTTTACGAAAGAAAATGTGAAGATGAAGATTGTAAGTAGAAAAATTCATCCTCAATTCAAACTTTATAACATTTTGCTAATCTTAAACCTGTAGCCAACAATCCCGAAGATAGACCTAGAGAATGTTACACTCATCCTTGGTCTGCTTGGAGTGAATGTACTGCGGAATGTGGAGAAGGTCATCAATATCGTACACGAGTCTATAAACAAGCCGATGTAGCTAAAATTTATAATTGTGATTCAATGGTGAGAAGGAGACAAGATAGGCCTTGTCAGGGTCAAAAATGTTCGGGTATGGAGGCTGCATTTGGTTATCCACCGTACGAAACGAATCAATGGTCGGATGTGGAAGAGCGGGAAGAAATATTTGACTCAGTTTTGCCACAAATGCCTGTTAAAGCGGCTAAATCAAAGGCTGAATGTATGCTGGGTAATTGGTCGCCATGGTCTGAGTGTAGTGTTTCCTGCGGTGAAGGTGTGAGAGAACGAACAAGGGAATATGTTAATCCCTATAATGAAAGGGAGTGTCAGGAAGTTTTCTTCTTTAAGTTAAAAGAATATAAAAAATGTCAAGGTCCAAGTTGTTTGGGTCCTCTCAATAATAATGAATATGATGAAGAAGAAAATTTAGATTTTGACACCAATTCCCAGCAATATAACAACGGATTTCGAATGGCACATAAACCGTATGAACCATTTGATACTAAACCAGAATTTACAGCACGAAGGGGTTTAAACAATCAGTTTAGACCTCAACAATATATGACACGTTCCCGGCAACCTATAGATCCTGAAGAAGAAGGTGAAGAAGAAGTTGAGGAAGAACAAGAACCGCAATATAATTTCCAAACGGAAGATTTAAAGCAGGAAACATTTGAAGAGACATATCCCAACAAACCTATGAGAAACTATGCAAATTCCAGACTAAGGGATTCAAACAATTTACGTCCCACCTATCAGAAAATAAGTCAAATACAGCATAGCAATAACCCCTATGGCCAAACCCTCTTTAAACCACCACCCGAATATTGTTATCAACCTTTAAATATAATTCGCGGTTGTATAGATCAGCGTGTCGTTGGAAATTTCTGGTTCTACAATTACTGTACGGATGAGTGTATGCTTTTTGCCACCGATATTTGTGATAATAATCGCAATAAATTTCTCTCGCTGGAAAAGTGTGAAGAGCATTGTGCCGCTCCAATGAGAAGAGCAGAGAGATTTTTACGCTACAAACAAGCAGAAGGATGTAGTCGGGGAGTGCCACTACAAAATGTGCGCGATTTTAAAAAGAGAAGAGATTACGTTTAGTGTTGTTTTGGGCACTTTATCAGTTTTAGTTTAAGTTCTACTAGAATTATATGTATGTATATGTATGAATGCTCTTTAGTAACGAGGGTAGTTTTGTAATTAAGTTAAAATGTAAATTATTGAAAATTTAAATATATTTCTTATTGGCATTTTTTGTTGAATTTATAATTAAATTTGAGTTTAGTTTAGTTTTAATTCTAGTTTAGTTCTAGTTCAGTTCTAGCTCAGTTCTAGTTCAGTTCTAGTTCAGTTCTAGTTCAGTTCTAGTTCAGTTCTAGTTCAGTTCTAGTTCAGTTCTAGTTCAGTTCTAGTTCAGTTCTAGTTCAGTTCTAGTTCAGTTCTAGTTCAGTTCTAGTTCTAGTTCAGTTCTAGTTCAGTTCTAGTTCAGTTCTAGTTCAGTTCTAGTTCAGTTCTAGTTCAGTTCTAGTTCAGTTCTAGTTCAGTTCTAGTTCAGTTCTAGTTCAGTTCTAGTTCAGTTCTAGTTCAGTTCTAGTTCAGTTCTAGTTCAGTTGTAGTTCAGTTCAAGTTCTAGTTCAGTTCTAGTTCAGTTCAGTTCAGTTCTAATTCAGTTCTAGTTCAGTTCTAGTTCAGTTCTAGTTCAGTTCTAGTTCAGTTCTAGTTCAGTTCTAGTTCAGTTCTAGTAGAGTTCTAGTTCAGTTCTAGTTCAGTTCTAGTTCAGTTCTAATTCAGTTCTAGTTCAGTTCTAGTTCAGTTCTAGTTCAGTTCTAGTTCAGTTCTAGTTTAGTTCTAGTTCAGTTCTAGTTCAGTTCTAGTTCAGTTCTAGTTCAGTTCTAGTTCAGTTCTAGTTCAGTTCTAGTTCAGTTCTAGTTCAGTTCTAGTTCAGTTCTAATTCAGTTCTATTTCAGTTCTAGTTCAGTTCTATTTCAGTTCTAGTTCTAGTTCACTTCTAGTTCTAGTTCAGTTCTAGTTTAGTTCTAGTTCAGTTCTAGTTCAGTTCTAGTTCAGTTCTTGTTCAGTTCTAGTTCAGTTCTAGTTCAGTTCTAGTTCAGTTCTAGTTCAGTTCTAGTTCAGTTCTAGTTCAGTTCTAGTTCAGTTCTAGTTCAGTTCTAGATCAGTTCTAGTTCAGTTCTAGTTGAGTTCTAGTTGAGTTCTAGTTGAGTTCTAGTTGAGTTCTAGTTCATTTCTAGTTCAGTTCTAGTTCAGTTCTAGTTCAGTTCTAATTCAGTTCTAGTTCAGTTCTAGTTCAGTTCTAGTTCAGTTCTAGTTCAGTTCTAGTTCAGTTCTAGTTCAGTTCTAGTTCAGTTCTAGTTCAGTTCTAGTTCAGTTCTAGTTCAGTTCTAGTTCAGTTCTAGTTCAGTTCTAGTTCAGTTCTAGTTCAGTTCTAGTTCAGTTCTAGTTCAGTTCTAGTTCAGTTCTAGTTCAGTTCTAGTTCAGTTCTAGTTCAGTTCTAGTTTAGTTCTAGTTCAGTTCTAGTTCAGTTCTAGTTCAGTTCTAGTTCAGTTCTAGTTCAGTTCTATTTCAGTTCTAGTTCGGTTCTAGCTCAATTATAGTTCAGTTTTAGTTCAGTTCTAGTTCAGTTCTAGTTCAGTTCTAGTTCAGTTCTAGTTCAGTTCTAGTTCAGTTCTAGTTCAGTTCTAGTTCAGTTCTAGTTCAGTTCTAGTTCAGTTCTAGTTCTAGTTCACTTCTAGTTCTAGTTCAGTTCTAGTTCAGTTCTAGTTCAGTTCTAGTTCAGTTCTAGTTCAGTTCTAGTTTAGTTCTAGTTCAGTTCTAGTTCAGTACTAGTTCAGTTCTAGTTCAGTTCTAGTTCAGTTCTAGTTCAGTTCTAGTTCAGTTCTAGTTCTGTTCTAGTTCTAGTTCTAGTTCAGTTATAGTTCAGTTCTAGTTCAGTTCTAGTTCAGTTCTAGTTCAGTTCTAGTTCAGTTCTAGATCAGTTCTAGTTCAGGTCTAGTTCAGGTCTAGATCAGTTCTAGTTCAGTTCTAGTTCAGTTCTAGTTAAGTTCCAATATTTTATAAAAAAAATCCTTCATATTGGGTAATAAAAGGGATTTCAAAAAGCAGATGATCCATAATATTGAAACATTTTCAAGGTCCTTAACGAATATTTATTAAATTTTAGTATACATTATCAAAAAAATACTAAACTTTCTACAAAAATAAAGTCTTTCTTACCTCCTTTCACACATGAAATTACTCCCAATACTACTAAGGTTTCTTGATTTTTTGCAACAGGACTGAAAAATATTTCTTGTTATTTGTATTTTGATTTTACAGCAATGGAATCTTGATTGAATTCTTGAGTTTATTTGAAACATTTGAAGAGACATCTGCAGTCATCATCATTTAACTATCAGTCGTTTAATATTTTATTTGAAAATAAGAAAAAAAGAAACTATAATCTTAAAATATTACAATAAAAAACAATAAATTAAAAAAAATAACGAAATGAAAAAGATCAAAAGAACTACTAACATTTTTTTAAATATAATTTAGAATAACAATTTTCGTGCAGTGTAGCAGAAATTTCAATTTAAGCCATTTTTATCGTTCACCATTTGCAATTCCTCCTGTCGTGCTTGTACAGTTTCTTTTTCAAGATAATTCCACCAAAAGATGTACTTCATGGTTATAAAACATATGCTAAGAAAAGTTAAAGCCAAAGGTCCTCTATAGGTGTTGGACATTGATGTGGTTGAGGAAGCCGATGAAGACAGAAGACGTTCATCATTGAGATTTTGTGTTGATAAGCGAGAATAGCAACGTATTGTGATGGTGGTGAGGGTGTTCGAAATAAAATGGTCTATTGCAAGTCATTGACTTTTAGCATCAGCTTTTACATTGGTATCGGGTGTTACGGGCAATATATTAAACTTGACTATATTGCCTTTAGTGCGTTTTTGCACTATTTTGCCGATAACTTGTGGGGTTTTTACGGATTCCTCTATGGTCTTAAAGATTTTCTCACAATTGGCCATATCTTGCTGGGAGTTACCTTGTATTAAAATACGTACTTCATGCTGTTTATTCAACCATTTAGAGATGTTTTTTAGACGTGAGGCTAAATCATGTTCTGCTATGCGCGAGCCTATATTTAAAGATTTTTCCGATTTCTTGCCCGCTGATTTATCGCCGGCAGATGAAGATTTATCGGACAATTCGGTTTGCAACATTTCGGCCGCGGTTAAGAGTCTGTAAAACAGAAAAATCTATTAAAACCAATCTGTCGGTAACAATTCTCCTACCTTCACCATACTCACTTATAAACCGGCCTTTGTGTTTTAGCATCCATATCCTGCACCTTTACCAAATGCATTGAACGTCGTTTAGCCAAACTTTGTGCCTCCTCCAAAGCAGTTACTGTCATATTTTGATTCTGCATTAATGTTATCTTTATGGATTCTTTGTGTTTCTTTTGCGCATTGGCTGTTGTATCATTTTGTTGTGTCGTATTTGGATTTTGCTTGTGAGGATTTAGTATAAAATTGGAGGTTTTAAATCCCTGTTGCTGCCACTGTTGGTTTTGTTGCCTGCATGCATTAAGGAACTGTTTTTGCAAGCTAAATTTTAAAGAATTTCGAAGCAAAAATGCCATTTTTAGGAATTTTTATTAAATTTATAAACAATTTCAACAATTTGTTTTGTAATTATTATGCGCGAATTTTCTCCGGCGTCCGCTAGTTTTTTCAATGAACCCTACAAGAACAGTGACAGTCATTTGACCGGTCATTTGACTGACACTACTGAAGGAAATATCGATCATTGCGTAGAACAAAGTTTCTATCAAGTTCTTAAGGGCAATATGAAAAACTTGATGGAAACTTTTGTGTACATGTGATCTTTCATCACACTCGCACTTATGAATTATATCGATTTTAACACATATATTTGAGCTGCTCACTCTTTTGATGATTAGTAATCAAGGATGATATAAATATTGGTCACGATTGACTGATCATGCTTGATGGATATATCCATCACAGTTAACAAATAAAAAATGATGTATTAATCGGTCATTGTTGACTAATCATACTTGATGAATATATCCGTCAAAACTGACGGCTATACCAATTTATAATAAAACACAATTTATTAATATTTTAAGATATCTATTTTTTTTTAATTTTATTAATATAGTAAGCATATACATAAATTAGCAATCATTTCACCATTTTACATACCTCGCAGAATCTTAAATTCTCTGATTCTCCTTTTAATTTGTGGAAATAAGTTGTCTGTAAAGAAATACATATAAATATCGAAATATAAAAATCAAAAGTAAGTATTCATGTTACCATAGATTGATTAAACTCCAAAGTGTTTATCTTCAGCTCCACTTCCTGCACTTTTTTTAAATTCAGTTTATAATAATTCTCTTTATTTTTAATAATTTATAGACTTTGTAAATTTTTTAATTTTTCGCTTCTTGAACTTTGGCTTTCGCAGAAATAATGAATTTATAACGACGAAAAATACAACTCTGAAACACAGTGACAGTCATTTGATCGGTCATTTGACTGTCATTGTTGATGGAAATATAAATTTTAATAAAATATTAATCAAAATATAGTTGTTTCACTCTTGCGTATGCAAATGCAACCTTATACCACACGTTTGGTACAGTGTCGGTCATTTTACCGGTCATTTGGCTGTCATTGTTGATGGAATTATACATTTTTTTTATAGAATTCTCTAAAAAAATCTACAAGTGTGTTAGTAAAATAATTTTGTATGTGTTAGTTTCGGTCATTCATTTCTTGTAGGGAACAGCCAGAGCCCTGCGCCGACAAATATTAACGGCGGCGGCTTAAAATCGACTTTAAGCCGGCTAAGTTTTCAACTACGTTTAGTTTTTAAATTTTCAACGATTTTAGATAAAAACGGAATCCGAGAGATCAGAAAGTAGGATTTTGGAAGCAAATATATTGTTTATAACAACAAAACAGAGCAAGCTCAAAAGTTGTGTGAGAAATTATGCAGGGATGAATAAAAAATTCTTAAAAATTAAAAACAAATCCTTTCTCCAAGTTTTACGAGGATCTGCCGATATTTAACCCTATCCTCCATATAAAACATCTTGCAGAAAATCAGTTCCAAGCCCCCCCCAGATGAAATTCCGCCCCTTTTTCTCCAAAATGTTCAGATGAATATTAAAGTTCTTCGTGCAAAATTTGAAGAATTTAGTTCTATTAGTTTCCCAGATAAACGAATTTTTGTATTTAATTCATATGGGAGGTTCCGCTCCCCTCATTGGTAGTCCCCCAATTTATTACCCTAAATGTTTACATGGATGTTAAAGTTCTTCCAGAACAACATCCTTTAAAGGGATCACAAAGAGATTGAAAAATATTCCAAAAGTTTCACTTTGAAAAAATTGAGTGAATCTGAAAAAAAAAACATTTTTTCAGAAAAAATCTATGTTTACCATAAAAAATTTATGTTTTTTCATAAAAATACATTTTTTTTTTTTTTTTTTTTTTTGAAAATAATTTTGAATTAATTTTCCCCAAAGTTGTAATTTTTATTAAAACTTTGACATTTTATTTCATAACAGATGTTTCATTAGAAGTAAACTACAACAAATTTCGACTAAATAAGAATTCAACTCTAGAACTGAACTGGACCTGAAATAGAACTGAGCTAGAACTGAACTAGAGCTTGAACTAGAACTTGAAATGAAAAAGAAATAGAACTAATCTAGAACTTGAACTGCACTAGAACTGAAATAAAACTTGAAATTAACTAAAACTTGATCTGGAACTGAACTAGGACTGAATTATAACTGAAATACAAATGAGCTACAACTGAACTAGAACTTAACAAAATCTGAAGAAAAACCGAATTAGAACTGAACTAGAACTGACTAGAACTGTATTAGAACAGAACCAGAACTGTAGTATAACTGAGCTACAACTGAACTAGAAGCAAACCGAAACTGTACTAGAACATTACTAAAACTATAATTCATTACTGAACTGCACTAAAACTAGATGTGATCAAGAATTAAATAAGAACTGCTGTGGATAAAATAAAAATTACGTAAAACGCAATGAATTTGCTAATTCGTTATTATTATCTTTACAACAGCTGTATTGATTTTCTTATTGGAAAATTACTTTGTCAAAAATATTCAACTCAGAAATTGACTTTTTACCTACACCAATCTTCATTTACAGCAACAGCTGTTGTTTGTTTACATAAAAATGAAAACAAAACAGAGAAGCCACATTATTAGAGATGCCACATGAAAAAAATTTAAATGAGTACTTCCCCATAAACAAAATACCCAAAAATTTCTTATATTTGACATTAGTTGCATATTTTTTAAGATATATTTTGCTTTTATTTTATATAGTTTATTTTTATTTTGTAACATAATATAATAATTATTTATTTGCTTAGTTTGGAATATAGTTTTTGTTGTTTGTTTTGTTTAACTTTACTTTTATAATTAAAATAAATACTTTTTTATGTTAAAAATAACGGTAATAAGTAGTTTTTTTCAGAAAAAATTGCACTTAAACTTAAATACACACAAAAAAGCTAAAAAAATGTTTAAATATTACATTAAGAACTAGCAGTTTGTTGAATAAATAAATGTATTTAAAGAGTTTTTGTTTATACACCCGTGTTTTTTTAAGATAAAGATGGTGTGGAGAGGGGGAATAAACATATATTTCAGTTATTGACAGATAACTAATTTGATTGAATTTTTATGTTAAGTGTATATGCCATGTAAAGCGATAAGAGAGTTATTTAAAAAAAATTGGTCTTTTATCATAGTTTTTTTTTTTTTTAATTTAAAAGGGAAAGCCGTAGAATAATTTTGAGCGGTTTGTGTTCATGAAAAACGTAATCAATGTGGAATAGGTAGTAGTGAGAGGATGAGCGACAGTGTTTAGCTTGGAATGTTGTATACGATGACTACGTTTTTGTTTATTTTTTAGGATAAAGGACATCAATTTTTGATTATTTACAAAAAGCATCGATTTGTTTTCTGTTTTAGGTTTTAAATTTTTCATTAGAGGGGGATAGGATCTTAAACTGGAGAGAAACTAGAACCGCACTGAAGCTGAAGTAGATTTGAACTAGAACAGAACTAGAGCTGAAGTAGATTTGAACTGGAACTGAACTAGAACTTAACTTGAACTAGAACTGAACTAGAACTGAAAAAGAACTGAACTAGAACTGAACTAGAACTGAACTAGAACTGAACTAGAACTGAACTAGAACTGAACTAGAACTGAACTAGAACTGAACTAGAACTGAACTAGAACTGAACTAGAACTGAACTAGAACTGAACTAGAACTGAACTAGAACTGAACTAGAACTGAACTAGAACTGAACTAGAACTGAACTAGAACTTAACTAGAACTGAACTAGAACTGAAAAAGAACTGAACTAGAACTGAACTAGAACTGAACTAGAACTGAACTAGAACTGAACTAGAACTGAACTAGAACTTAACTAGAACTTAAATAGAACTGAACTAGATCAAAACTTGAACAAGTGCAGTAATTCGATCCCAGGTTTGAAACTTTTCCGAAAGAAAACTGTGTCATACCCGAATGTTATCTTTAAATAATAGCAAAGGTGTACATTTTTCCCCATTTCTTTTGGTGTAACGAGCCCCTTAAAGCTTAACTTATTTAAATTTATAAATATTTCTATAATTAAGAATCTCCCCAGAGAATTTCTTCAATTTCCCCACTGAAGAACTCTAGCTTAATGCTGTCATTTGTGTAGTGTATCGTGTATATATCTCGCTTACCTCCTAACCTTAGTTGTTATTCAACATTTAGACTCTTTGGATTTCAAATAATTTCACTTCTGTATCATACCAAATGGCGGGCTCCACGTTACGCAAATATATGACACCCCATATATAGGTACGGAACCAGGCGGTGGTGCCAGCATTAGCCTGATACTTGCGTATGAGTATTGGATGAGGTACGGGCAGTAGACCCACTAGAGTGCCATGTTGTAAGAACTTCAAAATTTCCGATTCATCGGTAAGACCCTTATCGATGCAGATTTTCTCTACTTGTGGTACTAAGACCTGCAGCAAACGCATAATGGTTTGTAGGGGTAATTTCGAGCGCCAAGAGACAATCCATTCCGGGGTAGGGGTCCATACTTCCGTCGAAGGTTGATGTACCATACGTATGCTGCCACGATGTGCCACTGAAAGGCGGCTAAAGGGTGATTTTTCGTCGGCGTTTTCTACATGACCATTGGGACTGGCGGTTCTAGATTCTGAAGGAGATCTTTCGTTTATTTTATCGAAACGTACAATGTCAGAGGTGCCATCTATGGTGGGTGTTTGATCTACCGAACCTGGATGAGCCTGCTCACGCTCAGTCATTTGATTAATGCCCGGAGTATCGGGTAGTGAGGCCTTTAAAGTACCCGGTTCTGCTGGCAAAGCGGGGAAAGCACCCTCCATTTGCTGTTCGCCTTGTTGAGTATGTGACTCTGTCTCTGACTCCTCGACTAAGCTTAAATTAGGCTCCTCATTGTTAGTTCTTTTAGCACATACCTTTTTAATTTCCTCCTCATCTTCTTCGTCCAAATCCTCGTCATCCTCCTCCTCATCTTCGACACTATGCGGCAAAGGAGAATTGAAATTTTGAACTACCGTTGTTAACCTCTTTTGCCTAACTGGAGGCAAATTAAATTTACCCACTTTACGGCCACTTAAACACTTAGCTATGCCCGCCATGTCGGAGGGTAAATTAGCCATGGCATGGAAAACATGCCGTTTACGTATAATGGTATAAACTAAATTAGAATTGCCGTCAAATTGATATTGTATGATGTTATTAAAGATTTCCAATAAAAAGAATACCAAATGATGATTACTGGGAGCGGAGAGCAGAAACCAGGGTGTGCTAAAGGCCTCTAGTAAATGCAATAGTTTAACACTGGCTACCATGGATAAAGTCTTCAAATAAGGAGAAACATTAACCAGAATGGTAAGCAAGCAGTCAAATAAAGGCTGTAGTCTTTGATGGCCAGTGGCGATGATTTTGTGGAATACAGTAATCAATAGATCAGCATGAGTGCCGGTAAAAACGGGTATATCCATGGGCACGGTGGCGGTATAGGGCTTATTAAGGCGCACACCAAAATTTCGTTCCCCTAGGAAAAGAAAAAAAAGGTTTACATTTAGTTTATGTATAAAGAATTATTTAACCTACCGGATAACAACAGCAGAATAAACACTCCTATATGCATAAGACCCACTTTTGACTGATCTGCTCTTGAATAATTTAAATGATAAAGAATTGGTATCAATATATCCAAAACATCGGAACTTTTCAAAACAAAATACAAAAATTTCTTATTGTAATCGCAAATTTTCCAAAACAATATCAAAAGTTCCTGATGACAATGCAAACGTTTGGTAGAATTGGGTAAATAGTTTTGCACCAAAGGATTATTAAGCAAACGCGTAATGCCCTTTAAAATAAAATGAAAATCCTCATCGCGATGAACTCTAGAGAGATAATTAATGAATAGATTATCACCACAAACATCATCGTAAGCAGTGGGAGCTAAAGCCGAGGAACTGCCTCCTTTAACATGTCTTTGCAGTTCCAATTGATGCTGCTGCAATTGTTGTTGCTGCATAATCATGTCATGATCTAAGGTAACTATTAAAATTTGCAAACAAGCCTCCACTAAAGGTTCCGTGGTATCGGTAAAGAGTAGATGATTGTAGGGTACACCAAAACCCACGGGATCATAGCTGCATACGGAATTCAGAAAGGAAGTAAACAAGGGCAAGGCATGGCGATTATCGGCCGAAGTAAAATAAGCTATCCATTTATTGGGTTCCTCTGTGGGTTGAGGCGTGCGATACATGGGCTCCGAGAAACAGGTTAGAAGTAATTTTAACAATTCCGTGCGCCTACGCTCCATATGAGCATTTTTGGGTGGTGAGTGGGCAAAACCTACACCTGCCTCCCATATATATTCACAGCTATCAATATTAGCCAATTCCTCTGCCTTATCAGGACCTGGACGGCGGGTGGCAGTCACCGTAAAGTCTGGACAAAATAACAAATCACTAACAGCATTTAGCAATGACTGAGCCAAGGGCACAGTATGATTTTGTGCTGCCAAATATTCACGCTCAGCATCATCCACCTCCCCACCACCTACCGACGGCTTTTGTTGTGGCTTTTCTTGGCTAGCAGGCAAACTGCTCCAGAAAAAATGACGCCATTTATCATCTTCAAATATATAGGGCATTATACGTATCAGCAGACGTACACAATTTAAAACACATTGCTGTTCGGCTTGGGTACGACAACTACTATCGACCGCCTCCGCAAGTTTCTCCACAGCCTTATAACATAAGGTGGCCAAATTGGCAGGATTTTCATTGCGTATATTACGTATCTCGGCTGCCGTAACCAAGGCAAATACATCCTCCAGCGATGTTTGATGGCCCGACCAGAATTGATCCCAAAATGGGTCATCAGCATCGATCTTTTGATGTTTTTGCGTCAACTGGACAATGGCTTTGCGAAAGTTTAACTTTGAATCAGTATTGCCCATATTGTAGCAAATTTCTTTAGGTATATCACACTTTTTAAATGATTTTTTTTAATTTCTTTTTTCACTTAAGTAAATTATAGATTTTTCTTTTATTTTTTATTCTGAAATTAAAGTTATTTTTGTTATTTTTTCACAATTTTCTAACTATTTTAAACAAAAACACGTATTAGCAAGAAAAATTTTCTTTGACACATAATTTTTTTTCTACCACTACTTCACTTCTTCTTGTTTTTGTTAATTTCTGGCTCTTGCTGTCATTCATACAAACTCTCTCTCTCTCTCTTTGTCATATATCAGGCATGGAAAATTGAAATGTTGTTAAAGTACTAGTACCAAAAATAGTAGCGCTATTTTAGTATAAAAACTAATAAATAAATTAGACGACTGATAAGACTACGGACTAGACAAAAGATTAGACGATAGACTAGATTACCGACTAGACTATAGAATATAGACTCGATTATAGACCAGACTATAGACTAGACCATAGCTTAGACTATAGACTAGTCTGTAGAGAGGACTATAAGTTAGACTATGGACTACACCATGGCTGGACTATAGACTAGTCTATAGAGTCGCCTGTAAATTAGTCCATGGACTGGATCATTCCATGGACTAGACTTATCTAAAAATTATGAAAATGTTATTTTTTACTGAAATACCATCCCAGCCATATATTTACGTTTATTGTGCTGCCATATCATTATATTCAGTTTAAAAAAATGTTTGCCAAAACAAATTTTGACAGTTTTGCTTTGCCTTAACGAAACGTCATCACTTATTAAAAGAAAAAAACAGCAACGATCAAGAAGAAGCAGATAGCAGGAAAAACAAGCTTCAAGAAAATTTGATTTTTTATTAATTCGTGGTTGCGTGTTGTATTTTTTAACGAAAATTTAATTAATTTCCTTAAAAATAAAATGTAAATTAATAAAAAACAACACAAAGCAACAAGTGTTTCATCATTTACACTTAATAGTAGTAAAAAAAGTTAAAACAATTTAAAGAAAAGAGAAAAATCCCCAGAAACTAACAACACCCCATCATCAAGAATTTTTTGTGCTTAATTTTTTTTTCATTTACTGAAAAAAAGAAAATTTTATCAAGGTTTTTCCTAAAAATCGCAAATTTAAGCAAAAATGTCTTTGCCTGGCAATGGCATATTTGTGGTCCGGGGCGAAATGTCCACTTTGATGACCGCTATGCGTAGAGGCTCCCGTTGGAATGCCACCGCATACGTGGTAAGTTTGTATTTGCTTATATCTTGCTTTGTATATATTATGTACTTATATATTGTGTGTTTGTATATACTTTATTACTATATAAGTTTACATATGGTGTTTTTAGTGTTTTTGTTAATAATTAAAATAAAATATATGTTTTCTTATTTTTGTAGGATGAGGAAAAAGATGGTTTAATGAAATTATTTATGGACCTTAAGCAAGTGCTTAATCGTATTGAGGATTTGCGCTTAATCGATCCGAATATCTTTTTGGCCCCCTTTCTGGAGGTCATACGCACCGAAGAGACCACGGGAGCGGTCACTAGTTTGGCCTTATCAGCTATAAACAAATTTCTTTCCTATGGTTTGATAGGTAAGGAAGTTAAATTGTATTTCTTATTTGATTTTGAGACTCTGCGTCATTATGATTAAGATTTGTAAGAGGAAATCCGAAAGATAAAAACTTTCTTATTGGATTTTCGTATGAGCGTTAAAAATTGTTTTCATAAAAACCTCAATTAAAATTGTTCGAAATGTGTTAAATAAAAACAAAGTCTAGAACTGAACTAGAACTGAACTAGAACTGAACTAGAACTGAACTAGAACTGAACTAGAACTGAACTAGAACTGAACTGAACTAGAACTGAACTAGAACTGAACTAGAACTGAACTAGAACTGAACTAGAACTGAACTAGAACTGAACTAGAACTGAACTAGAACTGAACTAGAACTGAACTAGAACTGAACTAGAACTGAACTAGAACTGAACTAGAACTGAACTAGAACTGAACTACTGAACTAGAACTGAACTAGAACTGAACTAGAACTGAACTAGAACTGAACTAGAACTGAACTAGAACTGAACTAGAACTGAACTAGAACTGAACTAGAACTGAACTAGAACTGAACTAGAACTGAACTAGAACTGAACTAGAACTGAACTAGAACTGAACTAGAACTGAACTAGAACTGAACTAGAACTGAACTAGAATTGAACTAGAACTGAACTAGAACTGAACTAGAACTGAACTAGAACTGAACTAGAACTGAACTAGAACTGAACTAGAACTGAACTAGAACTAGAACTGAACTAGAACTGAACTAGAACTGAACTAGAACTGAACTAGAACTGAACTAGAACTGAACTAGAACTGAACTAGAACTGAACTAGAACTGAACTAGAACTGAACTAGAACTGAACTAGAACTGAACTAGAAATGAACTAGAAATGAACTAGAAATGAACTAGAACTGAACTAGAACTGAACTAGAACTGAACTAGAACTGAACTAGAACTGAACTAGAACTGAACTAGAACTGAACTAGAACTGAACTAGAACTGAACTAGAACTGAACTAGAACTGAACTAGAACTGAACTAGAACTGAACTAGAACTGAACTAGAACTGAACTAGAACTGAACTAGAACTGAACTAGAACTGAACTAGAACTGAACTAGAACTGAACTAGAACTGAACTAGAACTGAACTAGAACTGAACTAGAACTGAACTAGAACTGAACTAGAACTGAACTAGAACTGAACTAGAACTGAACTAGAACTGAACTAGAACTGAACTAGAACTGAACTAGAACTGAACTAGAACTGAACTAGAACTGAACTAGAACTGAACTAGAACTGAACTAGAACTGAACTAGAACTGAACTAGAACTGAACTAGAACTGAACTAGAACTGTACTAGAACTGTACTAGAACTGAACTAGAATTGAACTAGAACTGAACTAGAACTGAACTAGAACTGAACTAGAACTGAACTAGAACTGAACTAGAACTGAACTAGAACTGAACTAGAACTGAACTAGAACTGAACTAGAACTGAACTAGAACTGAACTAGAACTGAACTAGAATGGAACTGTACTGTATTTTTTTCTAATTTGTATCCTCTCTCCGCCTTTTAACTAGATCCCACATCCCCCAATCTGGCGGTAATAATAGAAAACATAGCTGATGCAGTGACTCACGCCCGTTTCATGGGCACCGATCAGTCATCGGATGGTGTCACTCTCTTTCGTGTAGTTGAAGTTCTGCACACACTCATGCGCAGTCCTGAAGGTTCAGTGCTAACGAACGAAGCTGTTTGCGAAGTTATGTTAAGTTGTTTTAAAATCTGTTTCGAACCAAGACTCAATGAACTTTTACGCCGATCAGCCGAGCAGGCCTTAAAAGATATGGTTCTATTGCTGTTTATGCGTTTGCCGCAATTCGCTGATGATCGCAGTGAATCGGGTTTATTGAAGAAATTTCAAATGATGGCTGCTTCCATGGAAAATGATAAAAAGCAAAGGAAAAAATCGCTTAAAACACAAACATCAAGTGATACGAATCTGAAGCGTAGTCAGAGTTTAAAGGGTAATGATTTAACTAAACTGGGTACGGAGGAACAGCAGCAGCGTAAAATTTCTACCCACTCACAGCCGGGAGAGGATACTGGTACTCTACAGACACCAGGGCCGGTCAATCATTTGAAAGCTCCTCCCTTGGCCACCACACCAGCTACACCAGCTGGTAATATTGTAGACTTGCAGGGGAAAATAACCCAAACTCCCACCTCTGCTTTAACACAACAAGCTGATAGCACAGATATGGCGGTAGATACTACAACCATTAATACTGATGTTAACACCCCCTTGATATCGGTAGAACCAGCATCACCACCCACTAATAACAACACTGAAGCAGATTTAGAACAACGTCCTCAGTCGCCCCATTCCCAGGCGGGCAGTAGTGAATATATAAATTCTGTAGGAGTACGTTTTACCCAACAAAACTCTGTGGATGGTTCAGAGGGTATGGCACCCTTGGTGCCCTATGGTTTGCCTTGTATACAGGAATTATTCAGATTCTTAATATTATTGTGCAATCCCTTGGATAAACAAAACACCGATACCATGATGCACATGGGTTTAAGTCTGTTGACAGTGGCTTTTGAAGTAGGAGCCGATAATATAGGCAAATATGACTCTTTGCTGCAGTTGGTTAAAGACGATTTGTGTCGTAATCTATTTGCGGTAAGTATTTCTAACTAAAATTCTCCAAAAAATTAAAATTGAATTTCATTTCTTTGCCTTTTAGCTTATGAACTCTGAACGTTTGACCATTTTTGCTGCTGATTTGCAAGTTTGTTTCTTGCTTTTCGAATCGCTGAGAGGTCATCTTAAATTCCAATTGGAATTTTATTTAAGAAAACTGAACGAAATCATTGCCAGTGATAATCCCAAGACTCCCTATGAAATGCGTGAATTGGCTTTGGATAATTTACTACAATTGTGGCGTATTCCTGGTTTCGTTACCGAGCTTTATATCAATTACGATTGTGATTTATATTGCAGTGATTTGTTTGAAAGTATTACCAATTTACTATCTAAGTACACGCTCTCTGCCACAAATGCCATCTACAATACCCATATAATAGCTATGGATACTTTGATTTCCGTGGTGGATAGCATAGAAAGTAATTGTGCTGCCGCCAAAAATACCAATTCTTCGACTAATGTAACTAATACAGCAGATTCAACAAATCCTAATAACCCCTCCTCTGCCCTCAGGCACTCACGCCACAATTCCGGTTTAGAAGGCATTGTAATCGATGATCCCAATAATATGGAAGACACTAAAGTGGAAAATATTTCCAAATTTCTTAACTCCTCTACACGCATACGTTTACTATCGGGTGATACTGCTGCCGAAAAGGCTATTACACGTGAATATCTAAAAGATGTCAAAAACAAAAAACGTATTCTCAGTCAAGGTACTGAACTTTTCAATCAAAGACCCGATAAGGGCATACAATTCTTACAGGAGAATGGTATTTTAAATCCTCAACTTGATCCCATGGAAGTGGCTTTATTCTTACGTGAAAATCCTGGTCTTGATAAGAAAATGATTGGAGAATATATATCGAAAAAGAAAAATGTTGATTCTAAAATTCTTATGAATTTTGTGGAATCATTTGACTTTAATGGTTTGCGCGTTGATCAGGCGCTGCGTTTGTATTTGGAAACATTCCGTTTGCCCGGTGAGGCTCCATTGATTTTCTTGGTTTTGGAACATTTTGCAGATCATTGGCATGTAAGTGAAAGATTTATAATAACTTTTAATAGGATTAAAATAATCTGAAGAATTAAGGGATTATTATGAGTAAAAATGCATTATAATGGGATTAAAATTAATTAGAATGGGATTATAATGTGTTAGATACATTGGAAAGCGCTTATAATGTATAAAAATGCTTTATAATGAGATTATAATGTATAAAATTACATTATAATGTGATTATAATATGTAAAAAAATGTTATAATGGGATTATAATGTAGAAAAATGCATTATAATGGGATTATAATGTGTCAAATTATATTATAATGCAATTATAATATATACAAATATGTTATAATGACATTATAATATATAAAAATTCATTATAATGGGATTGTAATGTGTCAGATAATATTATAATGCAATTATAATATGTGAAAATATGTTATAATGGGATTATAAAGTATAAAAATGCATTATAATGGGATTGTAATGTGTCAAATTATATTATAATGCTATTATAATATGTAAAATATCTTATAATGCGATTTTAGTATATAAACATGCATTATAATGAGATTATACTGTGTAAAATTTTATTATAATGAGCTTATAATATGTACAAATAAGTTATAATGGGATTATAATGTATAAAAATGCATTATAATAGGATTATATTGTATACAAATGCATTATAACGAGATTATAATATATTAAAATGCATTATAATGGGATTATAATGTGTAAAAATATGTTAAAATGTGATTATAATGTACAAAAATGCTTTATAATGGGATTATAATGTGTAAAATTATATTATAATGCGATTATAATATGTAAAAATATATTATAATGTGATTTTAATCTATATTAATGCATTATAATGGGATTATAATGTGTAAAATTATATTATAATGGCATTATAATATATAAAAATGCATTATAATAGTATTATAACGTTTACAAATACATTATAATAGGGTAATAATGTACAAAAATGCATTATAATCCAATTATAATGTACAAAAATACATTATAATACAATTATAACTGATAAGAGTTGATTGTAGTGCGATTATAATGCATTAAAATCTTTATAATGTGATTTTAATGAATCAAAATACACATTAATGAGATTATAATATACTTCAATATATTATAATGGGATTATAATGTATTGAAGTATATTATAATGTGATTATAATATATACAAATACATTATAATACGATTATAATATATAAAAATACATTATAATACGATTATAATTTTTATGAATACATTATAATGAGATAATAATGATAAAAAATACATTATAATACAATTATAATGTATAAAAACACATTATAATGCAAAGATAATGTATAAAAATATATTATAATGGGATTATAATGTATGAAAATACATTATAATAGGATTATAATGCATTAGAGTATACGATATTCCGGTTATAAGGCATATGAGATCATTATATTGCGATTATAATGTATAAAAATGTTTTATAATGAATTTTAAAGGTGATTTAATTATAATTACGTTTTAGAATTTGTTTATAAAGCTTTATAAAACTATTAGAGTACATTACAATGTAACTCCTAATGAAATTCCAATTAAATCTCATTGCCCATACCTTATTACAGAAACAAAATGGTGAACCCTTCGCCAATACCGATGCTGCCTTTAGTGTGGCCTATGCTATTATTATGTTGAATATGGATCAACATAATTCTAATGCCAAACGTTTAAATGTACCTATGACTCAGGAAGATTTCTTAAAAAATCTAAGAGGTCTCAATGGTGGTAGTGATTTTGATCAAGAACTTTTGGCCACCATATTCAATGCCATTAAGTAAGTTGGAACTGGTTTTCACAAAAATATTTTTTTATTAAATTTCTAATTGGGATTACAGAAACGAAGAAATTGTTATGCCGGCCGAGCAGACTGGTCTAGTGCGTGAAAATTACTTGTGGAAAGTGTTATTGAGACGTGGTGCCACTTCGGATGGTGCTTTTAACTATGTACACGATGCCACTTATGATATGGAAATCTTTAATGTTATATGGGGTCCTTCGTTGTCTTCTTTAAGTTTTATGTTTGATAAGAGCAGTGAAAATGGTTATCAAAGAACTTTGGCCGGTAATTTTGAAGAAATTAGATTGTAATTTAAGAAATGTTTAAAATTTCCTTTGATATATTTAGGTTTTACCAAATGTGCAGGCATTTCGGCTTTCTATAATCTTTATGAGGACTTTGATGCCTTGATTTTGACCTTGTGCAAGTTCACCTCCATTTTAAGCAGTGCCCAACAAGAGGCCCCTAACCCAGCCTTAAACGAAATAGTGCAAGCGGTTAATTTTGGTTTGAATCCTAAAGCTCAAGCAGCCATGCGCACGGTATTTGCTTTGGTCCATGATTATGGTGATTCTTTAAGAGATGGCTGGCGCCATATCTTGGATATTTATCTGCAACTATTCCGTTTGAAATTATTACCCAAATCTTTAATGGAGGTAGAAGATTTTTGTGAACCTTCTGGCAAGGCTCAATTGATACTAGAGAAACCCAGTCAAAAACAAGAATCTGGTTTATTCTCTAGTCTTTACTCCTACCTCTCCTCCGAGGGTCAAAGAGAACCTTCCTATGAGGAACAGGAATTTATTAAAATAGGAAAGAAATGCATTAAGGAATGCCAATTGGATCAAATGATTCAGGAATCGAAATTTGTGCAATTGGAGTCATTGCAGGAGTTATTGAAACAGGTGTTGGGTTCTGTTAAGGCTCCTAATGCCCACAAATCTATAGGCATGCCTTTTTCAGAGGATATTGTGGTGTTTTGGATGGAGTTTTTGGTGAAAATTGTTATTTACAACAGAGATCGCATGATACCCTTGTGGCCGGCTGTTAGAGATCAAATGTATTTACTGTTAATGGGCAGTGCCTCCTGTGGTTATGATTATTTACTCAACCGTTGCATAGTAGCCATGCTTAAGTTGGCCATTTATCTAATGCGCAATGAAGAATTGTGTCCGGTGGTATTGAAATCCTTAAAAATGCTGCTGATGCTAAAGCCCAGTGTCATCTTGCGCATTTCTAAACAGATTTCTATAGGCATGTATGAATTACTCAAGACCTCGGCTCAAAATATACATTCCGAACAGGATTGGCAAATAGTTTTTACAATATTGGAATGTGTAGGCGCTGGCGCAGAGCCGCCAGAATATGAAGATGCTTCACTGCCGCAACCCAATGGTATGACAGCCAAATCAGATGGCGCTTTAAGTAGTGAGGAGGATTCCGGTCTGCCTGATAGAGGTTATATATCAGACTCGGAATTGGCTGGCAAACAAGCTACAAGAACTCAACAAACTCAGCAAGCAGGACAACAGCAGCAAAATTCCAATACCAGCAGTCCCTTTCCCTCTAGTCCCACGGCAGAGAATTGGATTTTGGTTAATAAAGATACGGACTTAACAGCGGCTGCTTCACGGCCACAATCACCACCAGAATCCTTGGCAGGGGCGCCCACTTTATCTAATCTTATCTACAATTGCAAGCTAATGGATCATATGCCTTTTGCTTTATTCAAATGTTGGGACTCTTTGGCCTTTATAGTACGCAATGTGGCCCATATAACACCCTACAACTTTGAGAGTTGTGTCCGCTGTATACGCACCTTTGTGGAGGCCTGCCGTGATGGTGGCATACGTCAAAGACGTAAATTTGAGGCCTCCTTATTAGCGGGAGGACAAAATCAAAAGAAACGTGCGGCCAACAAACGTAATACTAGCGCAAATGAACGCTCCAAACATCATAGCCATGATAGTCATGGTCATTTGGAAAACACTGGCGATATTGGAGAAGAAAACGATGATGATTTGGCTCAACGTTATGAGACTTTGTCCATACAATTGCTAGATCTTATGTACACTTTGTATACCCGCACTGCTCAGATATTCCGCTGGTGGGCCGAAGAAGGCTGTGCTGTGCCTCAGTGCTCTGCCTTATGGGCTCAGGGTTGGTGTCCTCTTTTACAGGGCATAGCCCGTTTAGCCATGGATAGACGCCGTGAGGTTAGAACCTACGCCATATCCTGTCTTCAACAAAGAGCTTTACTTGTGCACGATCTACAAACTCTCTCCGGTACTGAATGGGCTTCCTGTTTCCAACAGGTTCTATTTCCTCTACTCAACGAACTGCTACCCGATAGCCCGGCTGTGGCACTGTTAGATCCCATACTCCTAGAAGAATCACGTATACGTACCGCCACCATTATGTCAAAAGTTTTCTTACATCACCTAACCCCCCTGATAGAACTGGGTAATGCTTTCAATGAACTTTGGATACAAATTTTAGATTATATAGAAAAGTTCATGAAAGTTGGTTCGGATATGCTGTCGGAACAAATGCAAGAAATTTTAAAAAATATGCTGCTGGTCATGCATTCAGTAAGAGTTTTCCATAATAATGATGGCTCCCTGCATATGGCTTTGTGGGAGTTAACCTGGAAGAGAATAGGAGAATTTTTACCCAATCTTAAAGATGAACTATTCCGGGATGAGGGTAAGTGAACATTTTTCTTATAAATTTATTTCATTATTATCATCGTTATCATTATTTCATAATTATATTCTAAATAAACCTAAAGGTTACTTCGAACAGGCCTTGAAATTGTATGCAAATACCAATCAATTAAAACCAACTAGTAAAGAATATGGAATTAAATCTCAAGTGGCCTGAAAATTAAAAAAAAATAAATTTCTAGTAAAAACCTTATTGCAAAAAGTATAAGACCATTAAAAGTTGATTAAACAAACCGAAATTTGAAACAGATTTTCTTAATTTTAGGGGCAGAAAAATACTTAAGACAGTTTCAAAATTCTAGCAGAATATATTTTGTATTTTTATTTATTTTCGTAAAAATTTCTTAATGAATTTGTTTAAAACAATAAGGAAATTGAAGAATTTACAGCAGGTTTTTGTAAAACATTAAATATACACATTAAATTGCTTTAATTTAGAATGATTTTGTATAATTTTATAATTATTTTAATGAAATGTAGTTTTTTTAGAAAAATTCTTTTTATTTATAAAGAAACTTTTGATTTTATGTATTTAAGTTTTTATTTAATTATAAAGTGTAAAAATATATTATAATGCGATTATAATGTATGAAAACACATTATAATGCTATTATAATGCATAAAAAATCATTATAATGCGATTATAATGCATAAAAATACATTATATTGCGATTATAATGTATGAAAATACAGTATAATGCGGTTGTAATGTATGAAAATACATTATAATACCATTTTAATATATAGAAATACATTATAAAGCGATTATAACGTATGAAAATACATTATAATGCGATTATAATGTATAAAAATACATTATAATGAAATTATAATGTATGAAAATAAATTATAATGCGATTATAATGTATACAATACATTATATTGCGATTATTATGTATAAAAATACTTTATAATACGATTATAATGTATGAAAATACATTATAATGCTATTATAATGTATGAAAATAAATTATAATGCGATTATAATGTATAAAATACATTATAATCCGATTATTATGTATGAAAATACATTATAATGCGATTATAATGTATGCAAATACATTATAATGCGACTATAATACATGCAATAGATTATAATGTATAAAAATACATTATAATTCGATTATAATGCAAAAAATATATTATTATGCGATTATCATGTATGCAAATACATTATAATGCGATTATAATGCATGCAATACATTATCATGCGATTATAATGTATGCAAATACATTATAATGCGTTTATAATGCGTGAAAATACATTATAATGTATAAAAATAAATTATAATGTGATTACAATGTATAAGGATACATTATAATGCGATTATAATGTATATTAATACATTATAATGCGATTATATTGTATAAAAATACATTATAACGCGATTATAATGTATGAAAATACATTATAATGATTTTATAATGTATGAAAATACATTATAATAGGATTATAATTTATAAAAATACATTATAATGCGATTATAATGCATGCAATACATTATAATGTGATTATAATATATGCAAATACATTATAATGCGTTTATAATGCGTGAAAATACATTATAATATGATTGTAATGTATAAAAATAAATTATAATGTGATTATAATGTATAAGGATACATTATAATGAGATTATAATGTATAAAAATACATTATAATGCAATTATAATGTATATTAATACATTATAATGCGATTATAACGCATAAAAATACTTTATAATGGGATTATAATTTATAAAAATACATTATAATGCGATTATAATGTATAATAATACATTATAATGGGATTATAATGTATGGAACTACATTATAATGCGATGTTAATGTAGTGATATTCATTATAATGTGAATATAACGCATATGCTGCTTTTATAATTTTTGTCTGTGAAGTGTTTTTGTGTTTATTTTATGAAAATATGAACCCAATTATTGTCTTTTCTTTTGTTTTAAATTTCACCTTTCCTCAAAATCTCACACAACATACAACATTTCCATAAAATTGCAACAATCACCTAAAAACTCATCTACATACTTTAAATTAGTGTAAGCTCTCCTTAACACTAACAACACATCAAAAACTAATAAATTTTAAACAAAATTTTAAAGGAAATCGAGCTCATGTAATGCATCAGCAACAACAATCATCAACACCATCCACAACAACAACTATAAATGCTGATCTAAATAGAATACCAACGGTGGCCATAGTACCGCAACCTCAGGCTTTAATACAACAGCAAACGGCTCCCATACAAATTCAGCAACAACAACAACAATCACCTTTATTAATGTCACCAGTGGAATCACCACGTCATAGCATTATATTACAGCCTCCTCAAGCAGAGGCTTTACAAAAGCCGACCTTTATATTGGGACAAGTAAGATCGCAATGAAATTGATTTTTTTTTTGTTTTTTTTTTTCTTAAAAAGGATTATTTTTGTTTTGTTTTTTTTTTTTCTTCAAACAAAAAGTTACCACCATCTAATGCTAATATGGTACCCATGCCTATGTTAGTGCCACAACAACCTCAACAGCAGCAGCAGGTCCCTTTAATGCCCCAAACAACCTTAGATGATATACCCTCTACGAGTGATATTTTACTAACACAAACTATAGAACCCGAAGCTACGCTAACTACCAATACAACTTCTCCTATACACCAGCTAACAGCTTCCGAAGCTGTTAGCACAATGACCAATGAACAGATGACAAATCAAGCAACCGCCACTGCAGCAACCTCTAATGTTCCTACCGGTGTTAATAGCATGCCATTGAGTTCTACAATGACAGAAGCAACAGCAGGTTGTAATTCATATTCCATAGAACTATTTGAGACACCACCAACTGCATCAGCACCAACAGCCAGCTCACAGAAAAGTTATCAGCAACAACAAGCGACTCATTCCCAGGACTCTTCCGAAACTCAATCGTCAAACGAAACTCATCAGAGACAGGAGAGCATGCGCCAGTTACTGCAGCAGCAATACAATCAATATTATCAAAACTATCAACACCATCAGACCATAATGCAACATATGAAAAAAATGGCCAATGATTCGATGAACACCAGTAAAGAAGCTAATAATACCAGCACATTCAATACATCCATCTTAAGTGGCGATGAAGTTTCAACCATATCAGAAAGTGCTGAAGATTATAGACCTCCACCCACACAAGCAACCACAACATCAGCGTCAGCAGTCAATACATCGGCCAATGTGCCAATTTCCCATTTATTGGCCGGTAATGAGTATCCCTCGCTACACAAGCAGCCACCAACTGCCATTGTACAAAGTTTTGCTCCCGTCTATGTGCAGTCGGCCCAACAGCCCCAAGCAGGCAATGATATCTATCAGGAATATGTGCAAAATCCCTATAATTTAACGCTGCAACAAACGAATGCCAATATCACAGCTCCTCCCTTGGTGAGTGTGGAACAACATCAACAAAACTTACGACAATTACAGCTGCAATATCAGCAACAACAACAGCAGCAGCAGCAACAACAAATGGCTCAACAGCCTTCCTCTACACAAGCTACAGCTTCACAACATCTTAATCATACGGAAGCATTTAATAGCCCTGCCAATTATTTCACCTCCACTGTGGATCCTAATTCTATACCACCCGGTTCAGAAATGCTGTTTGGTCAACCCTAAAATGCTTGTTAATCTAAAAGGTTTTATTAATATAGAGTTGAAAAAAATAAAAGCAGGTTACTTTACTTTTCTAGTTGTTGTAATAAAAGTTTGTAAAGAAATTAGAGTTCAATAGAAGATATTAAAGAAATTCAATCACAATAGAGCCTTCTTCAAAGTATTTTCTGGACTCTGTCTCAGAGCACAACTCAATTAAGTGCACTGAGAGTTTTGCTGAATCGTTTTTAAAAGATTTTGAAAGTTTTCTTAAGCATAAGTAAAATTTCAATCACAATTGTCAAATTCAATCACAATGGCGGTGGTCTCTTGCTTAAGGAACAACTGAAAGAAGTAAAAATCAAAAATTTCTGTAAAATCTATAATTTCATTAAAAAAATTTCAATATTCCTTTAACAGAATAAAAATTTCTCTCAAAATCGTTAAATTCAATCACAATACAGCTTAATATACAAAGATTTGTGAGTACTCTCACTTAGATAAGAGCAGGATTAAGTCAAATCATTTGCTGCAAGAGAATTCCTCAATTTTATACAGGATTCTCTAAAATTCCTTAAGCATAATGAAAATTTCTTTCAAAACCCCGACATTCAATCACAATAGAGCTTTCTAAACAAAGATTTTTGTAAACTCTCACTTGAAGAACTAAAACTGGAGGTCCAATTATTAGCTGCATAAGAATTTAACAATTCTGTAAAAGATTTTTCAAATTTCCTAAAGCTTAATGATATTTTCAATCACAATTGTTAAACACAATCACAATAGAGCATTCTATGCCAATATATTTGAGAATTATCACTCAGAGAATCCCAAAAGGAAACAAATATCATTGCTCCAATAGAATTATTCAATATTGTACAAGATTTTCCAAGTTTCCTAAGTGTAATGAAAATTTCAATCACAATAGTTTAACACAATCACAATAAGACATTTTATACCAAGATTTTGGTGGGCTTTCTTTTGGAGAACTTTAGGAGGTAATAAAACTGATTGCCGCAATAGAATTACTTTATTTTTTAGGAGATTTATTAAGTTTCCTTTAACCATAAACTTTCAATCACAATAGAGCATTCAATATAAACTTTTTTAAGGACTCTAGAGGAGTTATTTATTCCATTCTCTAAAGAAATTCCTTAATGTTGTAGAAGAATTTAAAAAGTTCTAGTTTCAGTAAGGTTTTTCCAAATATCAATCACAATAGCAAAATTAAATCACAATAGAGCATTCAATTCAATAATCATTGCAGATTTGAGTTTAAGAAACTATTCCGGAGAAAAACCACTCGCTTCAAAGAAATTCTTCAACTTTTTGGAGAAGATTTTTAAAATCATTTACAAAATTCCAATACCAATCGAGAAAATCAATCACAATAAAATATTCACAACAAAAATATCTAAGAACTCGAGCTTAGAAAACAATTTTGGCTGAAATTTATAAAATATTTTAAAGATTTCTAAAATCATTTTTAAAATTGCAATCACAATTCAATCACAATAGAGTTAGAAGATTTGGATTAAGATTAAAGGATTTTAAAAATTATCATTCACAATAGTGTGAAACCCTTTTATAAAGGAGAGAAAATATAAATTTCTTTACAAATTATTAACAAACTGTTGCTCCCCAGAATTAGTTAAAGCAAAACTTAACCTGTTTTATGCCCCCCAGAAAAAACCTTTTTCAGAGGTTTATCCTGCTGCAGTAAGTTCAGCATAATTTTTTTTCTTTTTATGAAAATTTTATCAAATTTTATTACTATTTTGGTGGTTTAATTTTTCTAACACTAACATTCCACCATTTTGTTAATTAGTCTAACGTTTTTAACTTTCTAATTTAGTTCAATTAAGTAACAAATATAAAATTATTAATTATTGCTACAAAATTATTAAAAATATATATAAAACACATCATCAGCTTAAAAGCTAACTTTTTTGTGTTTTTTTTTTTAACTTTAATTAATTATATTTATATAGAAAAAATTACAAACAGAAATTTAAATAAATTGTTTAACATAAAATAATTTATACACTTATATAATGGTAAAAATCTAAAGAAAATATTTAAATAAAAAGCTCTATGTCAATCTGTATATAAATATTATAAATAAAACTGTATCTACAAATTATATAATAAAAATATTAAAAAAATCGGATTTTTCTTTCAGTGTATTAAAAGGGTGAAACATAAAAGTTTAAAGTTTTATTCATAATAATATGTTGAATTGTTTTTTTGTTTAAAATTAGATTACAGACCCGTCTCCACAACAGATTATGGATCAGACTATAGTCCAGACTATAGACTAAACTTTAGAACAGGCTATAAACTAAACTATAGTACAGACTATAGACTAAACTATAGTCCAGACTGTAGACTAAACTATACTACAGACTATAATCTTAGCTACAGTCCAGACTATAGACTAAACTATAGTCCATTCAATATACTTAAATATTAGTCCTGACTATAGACTACACTATAGCCCAGACTGTAAACTATAGACGAAATTGTATACTATATTTCAGATTACAGACTAAACTATAGTCCTAACTAGACTTTAGACTATATACCAAACTTAGGTCTATAGTCTAGTCTATAGTCTAGTCTATAGTCTAGTCTATAGTCTAGTCTATAGTCTAGTCTATAGTCTAGTCTATAGTCTAGTCTATAGTCTAGTCTATAGTCTAGTCTATAGTCTAGTCTATAGTCTAGTCTATAGTCTAGTCTATAGTCTAGTCTATAGTCTAGTCTATAGTCTAGTCTATAGTCTAGTCTATAGTCTAGTCTATAGTCTAGTCTATAGTCTAGTCTATAGTCTAGTCTATAGTCTAGTCTATAGTCTAGTCTATAGTCTAGTCTATAGTCTAGTCTATAGTCTAGTCTATAGTCTAGTCTATAGTCTAGTCTATAGTTTAGTCTATAGTCTAGTCTATAGTCTAGTCTATAGTCTAGTCTATAGTCTAGTCTATAGTCTAGTCTAGAGTCTAGTCTATAGTCTAGTCTAGTCTAGTCTAGTCTAGAGTCTAGTCTAGAGTCTAGTCTAGTCTAGTCTAGTCTATAGTCTAGTCTATAGTCTAGTCTATAGTCTAGTCTATAGTCTAGTCTATAGTCTAGTCTATAGTCTAGTCTATAGTCTAGTCTATAGTCTAGTCTATAGTCTAGTCTATAGTCTAGTCTATAGTCTAGTCTATAGTCTAGTCTATAGTCTAGTCTATAGTCTAGTCTATAGTCTAGTCTATAGTCTAGTCTATAGTCTAGTCTATAGTCTAGTCTATAGTCTAGTGTATAGTCTAGTCTATAGTCTAGTCTATAGTCTAGTCTATAGTCTAGTCTATAGTCTAGTCTATAGTCTAGTCTATAGTCTAGTCTATAGTCTAGTCTATAGTCTAGTCTATAGTCTAGTCTATAGTCTAGTCTATAGTCTAGTCTATAGTCTAGTCTATAGTCTAGTCTATAGTCTAGTCTATAGTCTAGTCTATAGTCTAGTCTATAGTCTAGTCTAGAGTCTAGTCTATAGCCTAGTCTATAGCCTAGTCTATAGTCTAGTCTATAGTCTAGTCTATAGTCTAGTCTATAGTCTGGTCTATAGTCTAGTCTATAGTCTGGTCTATAGTCTAGTCTATAGTCTGGTCTATAGTCTGGTCTATAGTCTAGTCTATAGTCTAGTTTATAGTCTATAGTCTAGTCTATAGTCTAGTCTATAGTCTAGTCTATTGTCTAGTCTATAGTCTAGTCTATTGTCTAGTCTATAGTCTAGTCTATAGTCTAGTCTATAGTCTAGTCTATAGTCTAGTCTATAGTCTAGTCTATAGCCTAGTCTATAGCCTAGTCTATAGTCTAGTCTATAGTCTAGTCTATAGTCTAGTCTATAGTCTAGTCTATAGTCTGGTCTATAGTCTAGTCTATAGTCTTGTCTATAGTCTAGTCTATAGTCTGGTCTATAGTCTAGTCTATAGTCTAGTTTATAGTCTAGTCTAGAGTCTAGTCTATAGTCTAGTCTATTGTCTAGTCCATAGTCTAGTCTAGTCTATAGTCTAGTCTATAGTCTAGTCTATAGTCTAGTCTATAGCCTAGTCTATAGCCTAGTCTATAGTCTAGTCTATAGTCTAGTCTATAGTCTAGTCTATAGTCTGGTCTATAGTCTAGTCTATAGTCTTGTCTATAGTCTAGTCTATAGTCTGGTCTATAGTCTAGTCTATAGTCTAGTTTATAGTCTAGTCTATAGTCTATTCTATAGTCTAGTCTATAGTCTAGTCTATAGTCTAGTCTATAGTCTAGTCTATAGTCTAGTCTATAGACTAGTCTATAGTCTAGTCTATAGTCTAGTCTATAGTCTAGTCTATAGACTAGTCTATAGTCTAGTCTATAGTCTAGTCTATAGTCTAGTCTATAGTCTAGTCTATAGTCTAGTCTATAGTCTAGTCTATAGTCTAGTCTATAGTCTAGTCTATAGTCTAGTCTATAGTCTAGTCTATAGTCTAGTCTATAGTCTAGTCTATAGTCCAGTCTGTAGTCTAGTCTATAGTCTAGTCTATAGTCTAGTCTATAGTCTAGTCTATAGTCTAGTCTATAGTCTAGTCTAGTCTATAGTCTAGTCTATAGTCTAGTCTATAGTCTAGTCTATAGTCTAGTCTATAGTCTAGTCTATAGTCTAGTCTATAGTCTAGTCTATAGTCTAGTCTATAGTCTAGTCTATAGTCTAGTCTATAGTCTAGTCTATAGTCTAGTCTATAGTCTATAGTCTAGTCTATAGTCTAGTTTATAGTCTAGTCTATAGTCTAGTCTATAGTCTAGTCTATAGTCTAGTCTAGTCTATAGTCTAGTCTAGTCTATAGTCTAGTCTATAGTCTAATCTATAGTCTAGTCTATAGTTTAGTCTATAGTCTAGTCTATAGTCTAGTCTATAGTCTATTCTATAGTTTAGTCTATAGTCTAGTCTATAGTTTAGTCCAAAGCCTAGCCTGTATATAGTCTATAGTCTAGTCTATAGTCTAGTCTATAGTCTTGCCTATAGTCTAGCCTATAGTCTAGCCTATAGTCTAGTCTATA